AACTACAAAAGATTAAATTATGTTTGTTTCTGCCTATTAAATGTATGAATTTTTAAATATTAGTATTGCTAGTAAAAAACAAAATTGTATTAACTGTAAAACATCTTATTACTGTATGTAAAATTACAATCCTCACCTCTGGCCAGGTTTAAAGACTACATCATCAAGCTTCACTAAATAACCTTAAGGCTAAACTTTCTGTAGGCTCTCAACTGCAAATTATTATTACATACAAAAAGCAATCAACCTCACATGGTCCATGTAGCAACTACAGCACAGGTGTTAGTCTGTATGCCATGCCTTAAACACTACAGTTAGACGGGCCACCGCCAGGGTCCGCCATCTGGAGAAGACCCGGGCTGGAAGTACCCGCAAATCAACGAATGAATGAATGAACTACAGTTAGAAATTGTATTAAAAGTAACGCAAAAGGGATATTTAGAAAAATATCACTGTACATGACCAATGGAATGATTTAAGAGAAGAAGCAAGTGCTAAAACTACTGGAAATTAAAATACAAAAATAATAAAGGAAACCCATGAGTATAACTCTACTCCTGTAGCCACAAATAGGTATATCAGGAATAATTAGGGACCAGAGAAAGGATGATTTTTGTGTTTGCTGAAGAGAGCAGCACAGCCAAGCTGATTACCTTCGAACAAGGATGTGAATAATCACAATCCTAGGGTAAAGTACACACAGTACTTGCAACACTGACAATGTAAACAGCAGAAGTGCCTAGCATTTTGAAGTAAAAATGAAAGCACCCTGCAGCAGTGCCCTTTGAAGTTTAAGAGCATTAAAAATAGGTTAGATTCTACTCCAGCAAGGCAACCTGTCCTTCCCAAGAACAGCATAAATATATGACGTAGTAAGGTAAGAAACCACATGGCCACTTTAAACATACTAAAACTAATGCTGCCAGTAAATGAACAAAAGTGAGCTTAGTCCGAAAGCCTTTTTAAACAGAGGCAAAAATGAAGCTTATTTCAAGCAAACACAAAGTTTGTCCCTATCGATATATAACCCTAGGCAAATACAAAATAATACAAATAATACGAGTACAACAAAGGGACTGTGTTTTATAGTTTAGGGAATCAGAGAAGTTACCATAATTAAATGGCTACACCATGTAAATTTAAAAAGCACCAGTCTTAGAAAATCCAATTAAATTACATATAAAGTAATATAAAGAATCTGAAATATTTTACAAATACTGTATATTCAGACTAATAAGAGCACGTCTCACATGTCAACACTCATCTTACACTATTGCACAAGCAGATGTATAAAAGTCAATAACTTTTCAGGTGTAAGGTAAATAAAATCTCGCCACTAAAGATCTAAACTAATTTTATACAATTTGTGTAACAGAACATATTCAGAAAGATTTTTATATAATAGAATAATACTGCTTTGGCTTGATAAGAATGTACTGCGACCCTGGCTGTTCCATGTTAAATTCTGATAATTCCTTGTATCAAATTGTATGTCAATACTATTACAGAACATTCCTAATTAATTATGGTTGTTATACATTTACAAAAAATTCTATTTGTTTCAAGATGAAACATGATTCACAACACAAGTGCATAACTAATCAACCTGTCAATTGAAGTACAACCTAAGATGGATGACTGCATAATTAAACAGGTACATACGAGAAAGACATCTTTTAGGTGAAACTTAAAAAAGATTTTAGTCCAGGACTTGAAGTATAACAAAAACACAGACGAATGGCCTTATAAGGCAAATGAGTGCCCTGAAATCAACTTCAGAGAGGTCGCAATGACACAACACTAACTTAAAGGTGTATAATTTCAGGTTGCAATGAAAATAATGGCGACGAGAAGGGGGCACAGGGCCAATCCACATGAAATACTTTTACTACATAAATAAACTAAATACATTATGCACCACAGTCCTGTCAATGGTGCATATTTCCTTGTTTGTTAGTGGCAGAATTAATGTACCATAAGTTGCTTCTACAATCCGGTGTCCGTTTTATCTTATGGTATAACTGAATGTTGCTGCTCCCTTATTCCAAGCTGTGTGTGTAGATTGCAATGAATGACAAATGCTTTGCTTGATTTGTCCATCTGTAAGTATTCCTGCAGGCAAGTCGGAAGATCACAGTCTGCACCCACAGTTTTATATATATACTACACCACCACACAGAATCCTGTAAACCCTAGCACAGTGGTACTCTTCGAAGTGTAGGACTGCTATTTTGCTTGCAATAGATAAGGCGAGCTGTAATACAAAACCGATGTACCCCCTGTCAAGACCTTTCGGGCGCCTAATCCTAGCTTTTGTGTATCTATACGCTCATGCACTACCATCCACAGGATGGATAGAGGGTGTACAATAAACTAGCTGCTTCAGCAGCAAAAATCTAATCTTTCTTGAGGTATAAAAAAAAAGGGGGAGCGAGGGGGTATGACATGTTTTCTTCCTAAAGATAAACGATGGTGGGCTCACATTACTAATTGTCTTTAAATTGTAACGATGGATCCCAGATTCTTTAATAATGACCAAAATGTTGTCAACATATATAAGCCATATGAAATGCTGCATGGGATGTTCTGCGAAGTGGTCTTTCTAGGTGTTTGAGGTAAAAGTTTGGCTGAGACAGCACGGAGGGTGAATTCAGCCTCTGAATAATACCTTTAGTGACTTGCATCACCTTTAATTTCTACTCTAAATTTTCCACACAATATTTGCGTGCAGTAACAGCCAAGTTGAACAGGCTCGGATCCCCCATTGAGGCCTGGTCACAGAACCGGGCCCGCAGGGGCAATTGACCCCCTGGAACTCTCACTCCAGGTAACATACTGCCTCCAACATGACATTCTCCCCTGCCTCAGCCTCTAACAGCAGCATTCAAAGCCATAACTCACACCATATAATATTGGTACCGACTATACACCAATTTTTTTTTATCACTTTCCACAGATCTCAACACCCTTCCTACTTTTTTACACCGCATCAATTCTGTGGTACACAACTTTCGCTATCGTGTCCACTCCTTAATATCTAAGTACTGTGGGCCTTCATTTCCTCTATAACTAACGCCTCCAATCTGATATTCATTCTATCTTGCCCAGACTTCAGGTTATCCTCAAACCTTGCACTTTTTCTACATTCACTTTTCAACTTCCTTCTTTTAAAAAAGGAAAATACTTTTTCCTGTGGACCTGCCTAAACACTTCCCCATTGCCCTAGACACACTGGCACCTAAAAAAACAGGTATATCTGAGTTATCTGTCTCATCATGACCTCTCATGTTCCTAACTGTACCTCTCATGACATGACCTCAGGTTCTCATTTGCTTTGTAAAGCCATGTATCCGTTTTTTGTATTACAACCTGAGAAGTTTGTCTTTCTCTAAATATCATATTTTACCACAGTGTCTAGGTACAAACCGTTTTCATTTTTCAAGACTACAGAAAATAACTCTCATCCTAGGAGTGCCTTGAGCCAGTGAGGGATTCTTGATCTACGGAATAGAGCTCATCCTTCTTAGATTAACCCAACTGCCTCCCATTGCCTCAGTACGTATGATCCCCTACAGATTTAGTGCTTTAAATTATAATAACAGAAATTATTTACAATTCATTCATATTTGAAATATTGTTTAAAACCTCCAGATATACTGAAATACAGAAAGAACTATTTAGGAGCATAAAGAAAATTACCACACATATATAAATATAGATGCAACACTAATGATAATCAATAAAGAAATCTGATTTTAAATAATAAGCATTTCCTACTTGTTTTAAAGGAGGGAAGTAAGCACTAAACTATGACGTCATATGTACGGTTGCTCCAAGAAGGAAAAGACAAAAGATCAGTTGTGGTGGATCAAGACTTTGCCCTTGAAGGAACAGATGTCTTATACTTTTGCATAAATAAATGTATACTAGAACAGACCATGAAATTCAAAGTATATTTTTTTTGTAAATTTGTTTTTCTTAAAGTGTAGTTAATAATACACTGTAAATAAATGTCTCTGTTTTCGTGTTACGCTGTATACCCTTGTAGGTTTAGCGCTTCTTTACTAGAAATTATAATGACACTGTTTACATGATTTTTTTTTAACAAGATCGCCGTCTCACCACCAAGGCAGGGTGACCCAAAAAGAAATAACTTTCATTATCATTCAACACTTTCACCCTCACTCGCACATAATCACGTTTTTGCAGAATAAGAGAACCGAACCTTTATAGAGGAGATATCAGTCAGAGACCCGATTTGTTGTCCTAACTCTTCTCTCCTTGTGCAGGTTATTTTATATAATTAAACCTTAGCCATAAAAGTTAAATTGGGATTTAATAAGAGCTTATTTATATACATTATTACTGTGCTTTTGTTTATGTGACATTTTTCGTATTACAATAAAAAGAAGTGCAACTCGTAAAGGTCATGCAGTGCTTGAGAATGGTATGTAAACCAGTTTGATCCATGGAAATAAGGTAGCTTCAAATTCCCTGTTCAAAGTAACTTTTTTTTTACCAGGCATTAAGGTACTCATAGAAAAGGCTAGAAGCTACTGTTTATATTCCATAAAAACTGCAAAGGACACTTGTGTACAGTTCAAGACATTTTATTAAATGAGGTGGAGGGCGGTGCCCTGATGCTGGCGAAGTGCACTTGATCCCAAAAAATTGTACTATCCACTCTCCAGGCACTGTATGACCCTTACGAGTCTCAAGTACTTCCCCATAATAATTGAGAAGAAACCATGCATTGCAAAACAAGAATTTACTGGGACAATGATTTGTAGAACTTTAACAAAGCTTCACACAGAGCAAATGTTGCCCTAAGAAAATGTTATTCTGCAAAGTTCATCTTTTTCTTTGCTGTTGTTGGAAGTTACCATTTGGATTCATCTTCCATAAATGTTATAAAGTCGATGAATGAATACAGTGCTTAACAAGCCTAAAATTGACCATATTATAGTTCTGATTAATTAGGTGAAATAATGCACAATGTATGCGAAGTATTTGAATTTTATTTTGCCACTGAATTTTGGTACATGTACATTACCAGCTCACTTTACAGTACATTTATATACAGCAGTCCAACCAACAGACATTTGCTCTATCTGATATACTCCAGGGTGAAACATTAGACAATGTTTTGACCTAAACAGAGCTTTATAATTTATGCTATAAAGCTCTTAGTGCTGTATGACCTTTATAGGTTTAGCACTTCTTTTTGATTATAATAGCATAAAAGCTCTTACTTGGGGCAAAGCATCATCTAATAACGAGCATAAAACACAATTTTCTAAATACTGTATGATGGATAAGCAGTCAATTTCCACAACCATCAACTTAAAATGTACTGCAAATGCAAGATTATAATGTTTGATTTTTCTGTGCACTCAGTAGAACTCTCCTGGTCATTACCAATAGGTTAACTTTTCTATGCTAGCATCACTGATACACAATGCTAACAATCACCATCAAAAGATACAGAATTGGCCAATATTAGCCGTGTATCTTTGGTGTCGTATCCATCACAATGGAGGAATACTTATTACTAATCTTAGCAAAGATATCAACCTAACATTTGTCAAAGTACTACACTTATTCAAATTGAATATGGAAGCTTTAAACACCAGACTGATATTATGTTGAGTGTCTAAACATTTAAACCAATATTTAAACATGTCTCACTCCATACTACAAAAGATTAAATTATGTTTGTTACTGCCTATTAATGTATTGTATTTTTAAATATTAGTATTGCTAGTAAAAACAAAATAGTATTAACTGTAAAAATCATAATTACTGTATGTAAAATACAATCCTCACCTCTGGCCATGTTTAAGAACTACATCATCAAGCTTCACTAAATAAACTTTAAGGCTAAACTTTCTGTAGGCTCCAACTGGCAAATTATTATTACATACAAAAAAGCAATCAACCCACATGGGTCATGTAGCACTACAGCAAAGGGTGTTAGTCGGTATGCTCATGGCCTTAAACACTACAGTTAGACGGGGGCCACCGCCGGGTCGCCATCTGGAGAAGACCCGGGCTGGAAGTACCGGCAAATCACTAATGAATGAATGAACTACAGTTAGAAATTGATTTAAAAGTAAAGCAAAAGGGATATTTGAAAAATTTTCACTGTACTTGACCAATGGAATGATTTAAGAGAAGTAGCAAGTGCTAAAACTACTGGAAATTTAAAAATACAAAAATATTAATGGGAAACCCAGGAGTATAACTCTACTCCTGTAGCCACAAATAGGTAATAACAGGAATAATTAGGGACCAGAGAAGGATGATTTTGTGTTTGCTGAAGATGCAGCACAGCCAATGCTGATTACTTCGAACAAGGGAATGTGAATAATCACAATCTAGGGTAGAGTACACACAGTACTTGCAACACTGACAATGTGAAACAGCAGAAGTGCCTAGCAGTTTGAAGTAAAAATGAAAGCACCCTGCAGCAGTTGCCCTTTGAAGTTAAGAGCATTAAAAATAGGGTTATATTCTACTCCAGCAAAGGCAACCTGTCCTTCACAGAACAGGCATAAATAAATGACGTAGTATGGAGAAGAAGCCACAGGGCCACTTTAAACATACTAATCTGAATGCTGCTGTAAATGAACAACAGTGAGCTTAGTCAGGAAAGCTTTTTAAACAGAGGCAAAAATGAAGCTTATTTTCAAGCAAATACAAAAGTTGTCCCTATAGAATATATACCCTAGGCAAATACTAAAATAATACAAATAATATGAGTACAACAAAGGGACTGTGTTTTATATTTTAGGGATCTGAGAAGTTACCTTAATTTAAATGGCTACCCCATGTAAATTTAAAGCACAGTCTTAGAAAAATCAAATTAAATTACATATATAGTATATAAAGAATCTGAAATTTTTAACAAATACTGTATATTCATACTAATATGAGCACGTCTCTCCATGTCAACACTCAGCTTACACTATTGGCACAAGCAGATGTATAGAAAGTCAATAACTTTTCAGGTGTAAGGTAAATAAAAATCTCGCCACTAAAGAGTCTAAACTAATTTTATAAAAGTTTGTGTAACAGAAAATATTCAGAAAGATTTTTATATAATAGAATATACTGCTTTGCTTGATATGAATGTACTGGCACCCTGGGCTGTTCCATAGTTAATTCTGATAATACCTTGTATCAAATTGTATGTCAAATACTATACAGAACATTACTAAATTATTTATGGTTTGTTATACATTTTACAAAAAATTCTATTTGTTTCCAGATGAAAAAATGATTCACAACACAAGTGCATAACTATCAACCTGTCATTGAAGTACAACCTAGATGGATGACTGCATATTTAAACAGGTACATAGTGAGAAAGACATCTTTTATGGTGAAACCTTAAAAAAGATGTTTTGTCCAGGACTTGAAGTATACAAAAACACAGATGAATGGCCTTATAAGGCAAATGAGTGCCCTGAAATCAACTTCAGGAGAGGTCGCAAGTGACATACACTACTTAAAGGTGTATAATTTCAGGTTGCAATGAAATATGGGCGACAGAGAAGGGGGCACAGGGGCAAATCCACATGAAATACTTTTACTACATAAACTATATACATTATGCACCAAAAGTCCTGTCAATGTGCATATTTCCTTGTTTTGTTAGTGGCAGATTAATGTACAATAGTTGCTTCTACAATCCTGTGTCCGGTTTTATCCTTATGGTATAACTGTTGTGCTGCTCCTTATTCCAAGCTGTGTGTGTAGATTGCAATGAATGACATATGCTTTGCTGATTTTGTCCATCCTGTAAGTATTCTTGCAGGCAAGTCTGAAGATCACAGTCTGCACCACAGTTATATATTTTACTACATCCTCCACACAGAATGCTGTAAACCCTAGCAGCAGTGGTACTCTTCGAAGTGTAGGGACTGCTATATTTGCTTGCAATAGATAAGCGAGCTGTAGATACAAATCCAGATGTACCCCTGTCAACCTTTCGGGCGCCTAATTCCTAGGCTTTTGTGTATCTATACGCTCTTGCACTACCATCCACAGGATGGATATAGGGTGTACAATAAACTAGCTGCTTCAGCAGCAAAAATCTAATCCTTTCTTGAGGTTATAAAAAAAAAAGGGGGGAGAGGGGGGTTATTGTCATGTTTTCTTCCTAAAGAATAAACTATGGTGGGCTCTACTTACCTGAATGTGTCTTTAAATTGGTAACGATGGTTCCAGATTCTTTAATTAATGACCAAAATGTTGTCAACATATATAAGCCATATGATGCTGCATGGGATGTTCTTGAAGTGGTCTTTCTAGGTGTTTGAGGTAAAAGTTGGCTGAGACAGCACTGAGGGGTGAATTCAGCCCTCTGAATAATACCTTTAGTGACTTTGCATCACCTTTAATTTCTACTCTAAATTTCCAGCACAATATTTGCGTGCAGTAACAGCCTAGTTGATCAGGCTCTGATCCACCATGAGGCCTGGTCACAGACCGGGCCGCAGGGGCATTGACCCCCGGAACTCTCTCCAGGTAAACATACTGCTCTCCAACATGACATCTCCCCTGCCTTCAGCCCTCTAACAGCAGCATTCAAAGCCATAACTCACACCCATATAATATTGGTACCACTATACTCCATTTTTTTTTTATCACTTTCCACAGATGCCTCAACACCCTGCCTACTTTTTTACTCGCATCAATTCTGTGGTACACCTCTTCGCTATCGTGTCCACTCCTTAATATCTAAATACAGTGCATTCATTTCCTCTATACTACTGCCTCCAATCTGATATTCATTCTATCGTTGCCCAGACTTCAGGTTATCCTCATAACCTTGCTCTTTTCTACATTCACTTTCAACTTCCTTCTTTTAAAATGAAAATACTTCCTGTGGACCTGCCCTACACTTCCCATTGCCCTAACACACTGGCACCTAAAAACAGGTATAGTCTGAGTTATCTGTCTCATCATGACCTCTCATGTTTCCTAACTTGTGACCTCTCCTGAGCATGACCTCAGGGTTCTCATTTGCTTTGTAAAGCCATGTATCTGTTTTTGTATATTACAACCTGATAAGTTTGTCTTTCACTAAATATCATAGTTTTTACCACAGTGTCTAGGTACAAACCGTTTTCATTTTTCAAGACTACAGAAATTAATTCTCTCCAAGGAGGTGCCTTGATGCCAGTGAGGGGATTCTTGATCTACGGAATAGAGCTCATCCTTCCTTAGATTGAACCCAACTGCCTCCCATTGCCTCAGGTACTGTATGATCCCTACAGATTTAGTGCTTTAAGATTATAAGAACAGAAATTACTTGGTACAATTCATTCATTATTTGAAATATGTTAAAACCTCCAGATACTGAAATACAGAAAGAACTATTTAGGAGCATAAAATAAATTTACCACACATATTATAAATATAGAAGCAACACTAATGAATCAATTAAAGAAGTCTGATTTTAATAATAAGCATTCTACTTGTTTTAATGGGAGGAAGCACTAAATCTATGGACGTCATATATTACGGGTTGCTCCAAGGAAGGAAAAGACAAGATCAGTTGTGTGGATCAAGACTTTGCCCTTGAAGGAACAGATGTCTTATACTTTTGCATAAATAAATGTATTCTAGAACAGACCATGATATTCAAAGTATTTTTTTTTATAAATTTTGGTTTTTCTTAAAGTGTAGTTAATAATACACTGTAAATAAATGTTCTCTGTTCTGTTTACGCTGTATGACCCTTGTAGGTTTAGCGCTTCTTTACTAGAATAATAATAATGCACTGTTTACATGATTTTTTTTTTTAACAAGTCGGCCGTCTCCCACCAAGGCAGGGTGACCCAAAAAGAAAATACTTTCATTATCATTCAACACTTTCACCTCACTCGCACATAATCACTGTTTTTGCAGAATAAGAGACAGAACCTGTAGAGGAGATATCAGGTCAGACCGATTTGTTGTCCTAAGCTCTTCTCTCCTATGTGCAGGTTATTTGTATATAATTAAACCTTAGCCATAAAAGTTAAATTGGGATTTATTATGAGCTATTTTATACATTATTAATGTGCTTTGTTAATGTGTACATTTTTCTGTTATAACATTAAAAAGAAGTGCTAAACTCGTAGGGGTCATGCAGTGCTTGAGGAATGGTATGTAACCAGGTTTGATCCAAGGAAGAAGGTAGCTCAAATTCCTTGGTTCAAGAGTACTTTACCAGCATTAAGGTACTCCCATAGAAAAGGCTAGAAGGTACTGTTAGTATTCCAGTAAACTGGCAAAGGACACTTGTGTACAGTTCAGGACATTTATTAATAGAAATGTTTTGCCATAAATGGCTTCTTCAGTCCATTAGGACTGAAGAAGTCACTTGTGGTGAAATATTTCCATTAACAAATGTCCTGAATTGTACACGAGCGTCCTTTTCCACAGAAATTGAAATAAGATGCAACATACAAATAACCTGCTGGTAACTTAATGTATATGGATTTATTATACCAATAGGGAAATGATGTATGACCTACACATTTAGCACTTGATTTGATTATAATTAAAGGGGAAGCACTGAGTCCACAAAGGCTACACATTGCCTGGCAACTGAGAAGGGAACGGTAGCTGCAATCCCTTTGATCAGTAAAACTTCCCTAAATGTAGTGGCAATATTCTTTGAGTATTGAAATATATTATGAAAGCCAAGATCATGGTTATTCATGTAGAATGGGCTGTATAGCCCTTGTGGCTTAGCGCTTCTTTTTGATTATAATAATAATAATGTAGAATGAGAGTATGAGGAACTTTAGCCTTTGATGCTAAGTGCACAGCAAACACTGTTGTAAGCTGAAGTTATATTGTATAAAACAGTTGTCTATTATAGCTGTAGACTATCATCATTATTACATATCTTGGTTGTGAATTACTCTTGAAACGAATACATTTTCATCAGGACCATGCAGAACTATATAGAATTAATAAATATATTAATGTCCTCTGACTAGGAATATTGCAAAAAAATAAACTCACAAATTAGAACAAATAACATCTTTCGTACACAAGACTTAAATTTTAATTTAAGTAAAACAGGAATGATGCTGCAATTGCACGAGACTTAATCATCACTACTCAAGTATAATAATTACGAAGGCAGGATTTAAATAGTGTACTGCCAACAATAGTGAAAAATAGTTGCAAAAAAAGCTTTTTTTTTATTAGGTGGGGGAGGGGGGTTAAGTGTTTCGCTGTTTAAAGCTTCATGCAGTAATGCATGACTTGAAATATCTACACAGAGGGAAATGTTCCATAAAGCTTGTTCTGCAATGGGTCTCTTCTTCATCACAGAGGTCACATTCAATCAACTGCATGCTTAGGTTAATAAGAGACACTGCCAACAGTAATAGTGAAGTCAAAACATTTTATCCTTGGGTTAAATGTGTAAAAAAAAAAAAAAAAAAAAAAAAAAAAAAATGAAAAATAACACAATAATCATGGGAGCATTAAACAAGTTGGGGTCATACAAGAATGGCAGAAAATCAAGTTTCTTCCAAGGAAAGGGAAGGTAGCTCCAATTCCTCTAGTCATGAAGGGACTGGCATAATGTTTAAAGGCTTTGTATACCAAAATTCAACTGTTGATCTCACCCTTAATATTGGCAACACCTTAATTATAACCACATTGATGTTTCTTTGCAGTTAATTATATTAATTCATGAAAGCTCGAAATAAAACAATCTCATTTATACAACTAAAAACAGTAGTAATATTTACTTGAGACTTGATATACTCAAACAGGTAGAATTTAAGGGAGCATCTTCTTCAACAATTTATAAAAAGTAGATCATAGATTAGCTGCCTGTCACTTATTTGGTGGTGGTTTTCATACAAAGCATCTGTAATAATCATTACAAAATGTAATGTCACACAACAGAGAACATCAAAATTAATGCGAACATCCAGCATTTTGAAAAAAAAAAAATGGTGCAAGCTTACCCCAATGGAACAGGATAATCGATGCCTCACTGTATATATTAACTTCAACTGCCAAAATTTTAAATTGTCTTAGTTCCACTACCTATTCTTGAAAATTCAAAATAATCCACAAATACTGGAAAACCATAGACATATCAAAATTCATGTAAATTTTAGAAATTTTGATCTATTATTAACAATAAACAGCCTCATTTTTTATTACAGTACTGTATTGTATTTTGATACAATAAGGCTTTTTGAAAGATCATGTTAATGGTGAAGCTCTAAACCTATAAGTGTCTTGCACCCCTCAAGGGAGGTTCCTTGATCTAAGGATTTAGACCTGTGCTCCAAGTCCTTAAATTAGGCCTGAATGCCTTCTATTCCCCAGCACTGTATGACCCCTACAGGTTTAGCATTTCTCCCATGAATGTAAATTAATGACAGTAATAGACTCTTACAGCACTGTGGAATTAGAGACAACTGGGTTGATGAAAGTGGAGGGTAGCTCCAGTTCCTAGCATCATGGCACCCATCTTGAATGCTTGGACTTTTAGGTTTGGTGTAAAATATACATACTGTACTCATTTACATGCAAAAAATATCAGTATGAAGGATGGCATTCGAGTTCTATCACAAGAAACTAAAAAGATTTAATTCACCTGATCCACAAATGTAGTTTAGACTAGACTAAGCAAGATAGATTTCTTGCACACAGATCTAGATGATGTACATATTCCTAAAGAATAATAAGTCACAATAAGGTGGCTGGAACAAACCACAATAACCCACACTTGGTTTCCTCTCCTCAGTGCGAGTTATCTGTGATATATGCTCCTACATTTGATAGTTTATAATATACACCTCTGGTAATACTTGCTATTATTACTGTATATGTATTAATAACATACAGTAACATTAATAATATATAAGTGCTGCTAATGAAACCTTATTCCGAGAACAAGTTTTTTTTACTTTCACTTCCTTATGTACTATACATAAAATGTCATTACCCAAGTACCTGATTAGAATATCACTGAAAAAGTCATATGTACAAAATTATATTGCTTTATATTACATTTTTCTACCCCTCATTGACTGCCTGATCAAATTCAAGTTACATAACATTGTACAATGTCCTATAGCTATTTAAGAAATATACAGTAATGAAGTTCCATTTGACTTAGACAAAAATATTTTAAATACAGTGGAACCTCAAATTTCGAACGTATCACTTATCGAATGTTTCAAAAATAGAACCCTTTTTTCGAACCAACTTTGTCCCTATTATCGGACCGCCGGGTACCGGACCTGTCCGCCAGCCCGCTCTGTCCGCATCCCCACGCAAGCACTGCGAGCAAGTCTGGCTTTGTTGATGCTTGAGTGAACACTAACCTGTGCTCTCATTCAAACATTTTATGATTATTTCATTGTGTTTAGTGCTTGTGGGACTGTGAAATAAGCTACCATGGGCCCAAAAAAACTTGCTAGTGGTACCCCTGTGGTAAAGAAAGTGAGAAACACCATAGATGTGAAGAAGGAAATAATACAGAAGTATGAGAGTGGTGTGAGACTTGCTGAGCTTGCCAGGATGTATGGGAAAAACAAGTCGACCATCGGTTCTATCCTGGCAAAGAAAGAACAAATCAAGGAAGCTGATGTTGCAAAAGGTGTTAATAAGCTAACCAAAAAAAGACCACAAGAGGTTAAAAAGTTGTTGCTGGTGTGGATCAAGGATAAAGAGATGGCAGGTGATAGTGTTTCAGAGGAGGAAGAAGAGGGAGTGGATGAGGTGCCTTCTTCAAAGATTAAGGAGATTTGTGCCAAGTGGAATGATATCCATATGTTTGTGGAGAAGTACCACCCTGAGCAAGCTGAAACAAGTCATCTTTGCAAGAAGTTCAGTGACAGAACCATGTTCCATTTCAAGGAAATGTTAAAGAGGCGACAGAAACAGAGGACTGTGGACAGTTATTTTGTGAGACAGGGGTCCAGTGACTCTCAAGCTGGTCCTAGTGGCATTAAAAGACAGAGAAGGGAAGTAACCCCAGAGAGGGCTTTACCTGAAGTCCTCATGGAGGGGGGATTCTCCTTCCATACACTAACCCCAACTCCCTCTCTCCTCCTCCCTATCTTCCAGATGCCATCGCCAATCCTCAATAAAGGTAAGTAAAAACATTATTTTATATTTATATACATAATTGAGCACTATATTTGTTGTGTAAAACTATAATTAATCTCTATAAAATGTGTTTTTTTGTGAATATTTTTGGGTTTCTGGAACGGATTAATTGTATTTCCATTATTTCTTATGGGAAATATTGCTTAGATTTTCATTTAGAACTAACTCCTGTAACGGATTAAGCTCGATATTTGAGGTTCCAGTGTATCAGCACACTAATAACTTAGGAAATCACAAGAGGCATAGATGATTAATTTCTCGTAATACTTCCATTAAAGTATAAGTTATGGAAATCATATAAAGTACCGCATACCTGAAATTACTTGGACGTAAAGTGTCATTTTTGCTTTTAAAAAAATACTGATTTTGTACAACTTTGTCTACAGTCAGGTTACATTTTTATTAGTACACCTGCCATCTCCCACCAAGGTAGGGTGACTGACAAAAGAAGAAGAAACACTTTCACCACTGCTCACTCCATCATAGTATTGGAGTGAGTGATGATGAAATACCATACCAGATGTTATCATATTTTATACCTATTACTAAATCATTTGACAATAATTAACAGTATTATCCATATATAATTACAGAAATATATAAAAACCTTTAACAAATCACTTCGAAATAAATTAATATTTCACATAATTAATGAGTTGCATTTCAAGTAGGTGTATACAATCTTTCCCTTTACTTTTTTTCATCTCTGACCTCTTGCAACTAAATTTGGTGAAAACAATACAAGTGCAGAAAGAAACACTGAGATAATCTACCTGTGGAACAGACTACTTCAGTCAGTCATTGACTTGTCAACAAAGTTCCTCACTGTAATTGGCTTTTTCATCACTTAACAGCTCTGCATCATTTGTCTGCATCCAAAATTACTAAATATCCTTGCATTTTTACCTGTAATACCAAGTGACTGCTTAAAAAAAAAAAATATATTAAACACAACAGTACAGTCTCTTATTTGTTTTACCTGAGTAAACAATATTTGAAGGTCAAGGAAACAATGCCAGCTTTCCTTGAGTTTTGCTCTACAAAGTGAAACATCACATATTTACCTTGCCAATACTCCTGCTGCCTCCATATTTATTCTCCTCTGTATCTGACTCTGATGTTTTACTATGTATTAAACATCTGCACCTGTCTTTTCTTCATAAAAATCAGCAGAAAGCCTTTGTATCCTAAATAATATTGCTTAATGGTTCAAGGTTTCTAACTAAAAAAAAAAAATTATACAATATAATTCTATGACTGCTCAAAATATTTTATAATATAACTCAGTAAATATGCCATTCAGAGTTTTTCAGTCATAATTTAATAGTAATAGGATGCAGTTGCTTTTTATATAATAAACAGACTGGTGGAAAGTGTTTTGTAGAATATAAGTATAATATAAAACACTAAGGATTTTCATGGCAAGACTGACCTGGGGAAAGATATAATAGCCTAATACCAAATGCAGTTTATGCTTGATTATCAGTTATAAAAATGTGAGTGCATCTGATTAACTGAAAGTTCAATTAAGTGCACTGGAATTCTGGGTAGATTTCCCTTTTGGTAAATTTGATTACACATGGAATTTTATTTTGATACATGCCATATATAAATATTTGATTCTCAAACAACTGAGAAAAAGTCACCCATAATTCCTACTCAGTTAAGACAGCCAGAATCATAAAAATATTTACATTTCTTAAATTAAGCACACACCAAATAATTGAACGTCTACTGCACTGGCAATTGGAGGGAATTAAATCCTAGTTACATTTCCTATTTTGTGTTAAGGGATTCACCCACTGCCAACTATTTAAGGAGAGGAGGCAAAAGAAAAATTTCAGTTAGTGATTATCTAAACCAACAAATCTTCTCACATCTTTAAAGGTGAACAGTGCTGATTTCTCATAGCTCTGGAAGTAGTGGTGTGTGAGCAGCGGTTAATGCACGGCGTCCCACAAGCCTTGTGGCTGCTCAAGATGAGGAAGGTTGTGGGAAAATGGCAAGCAAGTCGGACGGGTGTGGAATTTGATGGCAATCTGAGGTCAAGGTAAAGCAAAGCAGGTAAATATAACGCATTGCAATTGTTGATACATTGATGCAGATCATTCAGTAATCACAAAATAAAATATATTTACCAGAATACAGTTTAGAATAAAAATATTGCTGTATTTCCCATACATTTTTAAATTTTGACATAAAAAAAATGTAAAATAAATTAATTTAAACATGGTTTGATCACATTAGGATAAATAAGGTACTATATATATCCTCACAGTATATTTCACAATTGAAATATTTAAAAACAAAAAATAATCATTAACATATACCTCTTTCCCTATCTTTCAGCACCATCCATCACTTTTAATATCTTTAAGGCTAGCTTAAAAGCTACATAATACAGAAGTTCCCAGTATGAACCTTGTAATGAATTAAAAAATTCTTAAATGATTTTGAATATTCTATAACTAATAAAAAATTTTAATGCTCAGGCCTGATGAACCATAACCTAAGGATTAAAAAAAAAATTGTAAAATTCTCCTGGGCTGTTTTCTAGTGGTTTATACACTGCATTCATAGGGAGGGATGCTATCTGTTAGTGGTTCTAAGAACTTTTCATCCCCAGTCCAGTATTTGTAATTATCTGTATTTATCTATAAATGTATATAGAGCAGGATTAAATTTCAGATGAAAATATATAAAAAGATCAAAAGATCAAATTTATAATGAAAATTTTGGAAATTACAAGAATACTCACGACAGGCATGCGTCTGTAAGACAGCACTCCATCTCTGAAGAAAAGCGATGTATTCTGTTTTGACAGGACCATCTGCAAACTTTCAGGTGGAGAGTAATCTTTCAGAATCCCAGAGATTTCTTGAAATGTCCGCATAGTAGCAACTCTCATCCTCTGGACACTGGTTTGAAGAAGAGGTTTTGCTTCTTTCACCTTTTCATCAGATAAATGCTTTATATTCTTGGAAAGTGTGCCGGAGAATGCCTTTTTTGCTGCATTTGTTGGTTTTTCTGAATCCTTTGGGCTTGTAATAGTCATTTTTGCCACATTATGAGACTTGCAATTTGAATTTTTCAACTTTGGGCTTGAACTAACAGGCTTACTCATAATGTCTGCTAAGGATTCATCACTGGCTGTATGATGCATTTTGGCCTTGCTTCTTTCTTCCATTAGTTCATTTAATTGTGATCTCCGACGGAGTTTACGTGACCTTCTGTATCCTACATGACTCGCATCTCCATTAATACTCTCTGTATCGGTCTCGATGCCAGATTCCTCAGTCTCAAGAAGTCTTTGGTGGTGTTCAGGAGACAAATATGCCTTTAGTGCTTCTCCAGTCAAGCTAAATGCTCCTGTGTCCCCCATTACACCTTCACAAGGACTTGTATCAAGCAATGATGGGTTTAAGCTGTGTATTGATACTGATGTAGTTAAGCTGTAATAGTCAAGGCTATTCATAGACATAACAGATTGTCTTGAGACTGGTCGCATCACCATTGGCTGCATTGCTGCTTCATATTTTCGCCTTGTTGCCCAACCTCTGAAGTATCTCTGTATTGTTAGTGTAGCTTTATACAGTCTCAGATATTTTTTGCGTGTGATGAATCTTCTCACATTTCTCTGAATAAGCAAACATGAATATTTGATCTTTTTGTATTTCAACCTGGTTAACCAAGATTTCACATTTTTTTGAATCAGACAAGATGCAGCTTTACATCTTTTGTACTTTTTCTGACAACTATATTTCCGCCAACCTGTAGGACCAAAAAAACAACAATGTTAGTGCACCTGTTTCCTTGCCTGTGTGTGTAGTCCTGTAAACAAAAGGTGCAATAAACCATAGTGCATTTTGAAAGTTTCTTTTAGTGAATTCTTCAGTGTGCTGTTAAAAATAGAATTTTATGTAATGAGCATTTTACTTAGTGGCAGTGCTGTATGAGCCTTGTAGGTTTAGCACTTGGTTATGATTGTAATAGTAATAATTTACTTAGAATAAAAAATTTAAGCCATCAGTTAGAAGGGGCAACTTTTTTTTTTAACAAGTTGGCCGTCTCCCACCGAGGCAGGGTGACCCATAGAAAGAAAATCCCCAAAAAGAAAAAGCTTTCATCATCATTCACCTCACTCACACATAATCACCGTCTTTGCAGAGACGCTCTCGCTGATGGACCCACCTTTCATCCGGACTCTCTCATTGACTTTTTGACAACTGACCTACTTCACAAACTCTGATGCCTTCAGCCCTTTCTACCTCAATCTCTTGCTACCCCCGCACTATCCCCTGCCCCGCTGTTTTCTGTAACCTACTGATCATCCCTCCCCCCCAATACCCTCGCTTCCTTCCCTACCCTGCAGCGCTGTATAGCCCTGGGAGACGGCCGACTTGTTGGAAAAAAAAAAAATAATAATAATTTGCAGAGGTGCTCAGATACAACAGTTCAGAAGTCACCCCAAACCCCTCCTTTAAAGTGCAGGCATTGTACTTCCCATTTCCAGGACTCGAGGCCGGCTACCACTATACTTTCATACATTTCTTCCTTTGCCTCCATGGATAGCGTTTTTTGTCTCCACAGATACCTCAACGCACCACTCACCTTTTTTCCTTCATAAACCCATCTGCTGACAAGTCAGCTCCCAAATATCTGAAAAAATTTACTTCTTCCATACTCCCTCTCTCCAATGTGATATACAGTTTTCCTATATAAGATAAATATATTTTGTTTATTACAGCAGTCATTTCCACCAGAGAAGGACATTCATTCATCACTCGTTCAATAGCTGCATTGCCTCTAATTTGCAAAATACAACCCCCAAAACTCAGGTTTGGCTAGCCAATTTTCCCGAATTCCTACATAAATGTTACCTTACACTTCAAATCCCCAAAACCACTTGCCTCCACTCACTCCTATCTAACATGCACACAGGTGCTTGCTAGGCCTTACTATTCAAAACTTTATTTTATAATTTAAAAAATACTAGGATAATACCAAAGACAAAAATTTTCATAGCTTAACTTTCCACATGAGTAACTGAGGGAACCAAAGATACAAGAGTCTTACATTTTTGAAGGCAAGTGGCAGCTTGGTTTCTCTTTTCCTCTCTAACTTTTTCTAAAGTGTGAAGAGCACTCTCGGAGAGAAACACTCGGGTATAGCCAAATCTAAAAGACAATTAAACAAAACTGTTTAATATTAACAATGAAAATGGTACTAGTAATATGGCATAACCAAACCCATGTGGAGAAAACAAAACACAAAATAAGAGTGCCTCACTGGTAGATCAAAACACAGTATCTAATATGGTACTCTTTTTGTTTTATTTTCTCCGAGTCTGAATGTGCCACCGACCAATGTTTCTTACTTTGTGTAGTTTTAGGTAATATGACTAACAAGTACAAGTATACACAGCTCAGTGGAACAAAAGGAGCAGTGGAACTTATGAAGCAATTATTGGATGGACACAATTAGGTGCAACAGATTTGTATGAGAATAAAATGGCACAATACCAAGGCTAGAATACACAATAACCCCCACAGAAGAGAAAGAAACATAGTGAGGTTTCAGTCTGACATGGAGCATTAACTAGTTACACACTGTGTGCATTATTTGTGTAATGTATAATGCTGAAAAGAAAAAACACTTTAGTAAAAGATATGTGGTCAACAAGGTTCAAGATTCATTTTACTAAGTGAGCACTAAGAGCTGCAAAAGCAAAACAGGCTTATCCAAATACATGCATAGTGTCTTAAAATTCAGTCCCTCGGAAAGTCTTACAGCATCTCTTCAGTGCCAAGCGGAAGGAAGGTGACCAACCTTTCCTGTGGTGTGGAGCATATTTTATTAAGAGTGCCTGTACTAAAGAAGATAACTGGCATATAACGGTGACACAATGGAAAAAGAGACAGGTGTAGCATAATGTGATCCTTTGTTGACAATGTTTTGCCCACACAGTGTGCTTTATAGTCCTGATATTGTCCACTGTGGGTGAAACGTCGCCCATAAAGGATTGCATTACTCTGCATCTGTCATTTTCCACATTGCCTGCACAAGAAATTTGTTCTTCAGGGCAAAACAGATTATATAGACAATCTTTTTTAAATAATATGGAGTAACAATGAATAAAATCTCAAATGACTGACCAGCCTTAATGAACAAATTCCTATCCACCAGAAATGCAGCATTTACAGTAGTGCTGCACTCCCAAGCAGAGTAGAATCAAAGGTAGAAGGAAGGTGTAAGAAATGTCTAAGGAATAGCTGGACAGAGGTCATGAAGATTTAAAGGCAGGCATGTGTTAGACTGGCATGAGTGGAGGTGAATTATTGTAGGAATTTCTTGTTCAGTTAGAATTCAGAGAAACTTGTTACCCAGAATTTGGAAGCAGAATGTATATTTTGAAAATCTGGCAAGGATACTGCACTTTTTTGTGTGCCTACACCAAACTGCAACACTGATAAAACACAGTGGCACCACCTATGGACAGATGCAGTTGCCACAAAAATTTCTTATTTTTATTTTTATTTCAAGTTACAAATTTAGCTAATTTTATCCAGAAAACTCTCTTCACCTTGGATCTACCTCTTCTTTACTCAGTGATGTAATATCAAAAGAGATACAATAATGTGACAGGATGCTGCTGTATAGAGTTTCAGAAGAGAAAAAGCATTCATGATCATTTAAAAATTAATTTTCAACACAGCCAACTGGTGTCAACTCCTGTGTATGAATGTGGATGCAGAGAATTAAGTTAAACTGCATTAAACCATTCCTATTTCTGTCTGGAAATTATCTGTCAATTGATGCAGTGAAGATACAGTGTAAGTGCATGTTGGAAATTCAGGCCAGAGGAAGTACACGAATTCAGTCTTGTCCTTAACACTGATAAGTAAGGAGGATTGTGAGGCTAGAGCAGCAGCTTGGAGAGAGGTTTTAAGAATACAGAGAAGGCAAAAGTAGCAGAACTGATTACACTGCATCACTGAGTTGATCTTTAAATTACATTCATAGGGAAGCACTAAACCTGTATGTTGGTAAGAGGCAGCAACAGGAGAATGGTAGGTAATAAGGTTTGATCCAAGGGATGGGTAGTTTCAATTCCCCTGGATCAAACACCTTTTAGCAGCATGAATGGTAATTGGTTCTCAGTTTGGTGCTATTTGGATTAAAAGATATATTATTGAGAAGATACTAGTGATGCAGTGATAAAGTAACATTCTCTACTCTGGACATAGAGGTTACACCTATGATATACCTGTTACCTGTGACTAGTTTCAAGTTTTTCTACCCTTACAATTTAGCCTAGACCCAGGCTTTTGTTGAATGCTCGTTCCCATAGTGGTCTGCTAGACCACATCAACATTACAGCCCTATTAACTAAGGACTTCATAGAGACAGTGGTACAGTTTCATCTTGAGGACTTCCCAAACATGTTCCAGCTGATCACAGGCAAAGATCAGTGCTACTAAAGCAAGCCTTCATGTAACAATAACAGTGCAAATGATCATAATTATCTATGGAACTAGCTTAGGTAAAATCAAGCCAAGACTGAGAGCTGTATAGACTAATAATTTGCAATGTACAATAATTATTAATAGATTCACAAATTAAGAATAGATGTGTGACAAACATTTTGATTATTCTACATTCATCATGGAAGAACTAAACCTGTAAGGATCATAGAGCATGGGAAATAGAAAGTAATTGGATTTGTTCCAAGGAAAGAGAGGACAGCTCCAATTCCTCCAGAACCTTTCACCAGTATCTGGGGACCCCTCCCCCCCAATGACAGAAAAGTAAGAAAATCACCGAATACTCTTACAGAGGAAATTATATTGAGAAAGCAAGGCTGTCCATACAGTATTAAGTTCAACACACACACACAAAATAGTGAAGAAACCATACAGTGTGTGACAGAGGGTACAAGAAACATGTGCAGATCATGTAAAATATGAATGAATATAGTGAATGAGCTGTTTAAAGAAATATCCATACATTGAATCTATTGCAATAGGAAATTACTGCTAATCTTGTGTGGTATAATGTGTTGTAGGACAGATCTGAGAGTGAATAGCAGTGTAGACCTCACCTGACAACTTGGCTTTGAGACGAGTCAAATATGTTGAGGTGCTCTAGCAGCAAGGAAGACTTGCTCACTTCAGATCATTGTAAACTTAAGTTGATGATACACTTGAATGGGGTAAGGGGCTACTTTTAGCTTGATCCACCCCATTCAATCTGGGAAAGGAGGCAAAGGTAATAGCAGAGACTAGAAAAGAAGAGAATAGAACAGAAGAGCATGGAATAGAACAGGATTTTAGATTTATTATTAAAGGCCAGTGGTGGACACAGTTCTGCTAACCGCTAATTAGTGGAACTAACTTTTCGTTTAGTGGATTAGCATTTCCTCTAACTTCGGAAACTGTTAGCAGACCAGTTAGCTTCTGTTAACCCTTTCAGGGTCCGTCCCGTAGATCTACGGCTTTACGTTCAGGGTCCAAACCGTAGATCTACGTCATGAGCTCGGCTCACTCTGATAAACTGTGAGTGGTAAATTTGGGCCTAGATATGAGAGAATACATCTATGTGGTATGTGTGCACCACATAAAACAAATCCTGCAGCACACTGTGTATAATGAGAGGAAAAAAACTGAGACCGTGATTTTTTATTAAAACAGCGACTTTGCAGCGTTTTTTCGTATGTTTTTTATAGTTGTATTTGTGATTTCTTGGTCTCATTTGATAGAATGGAAGACATATTACAGAAATAGAGATAATTTTGATTGGTTTTAGCACTGGAAATGGCTTGAAACTGAGCTCAAAGTGGCGGAAATATTAAATTTTTGCCGATGTTCAAGAGTAAACAAACGACCTCACACGTCTAATACACGCCAACTGGTGGGTCTAATATACATTCACAAATGTTTACCTGGAGAGAGTTCCGGGGGTCAACGCCCCCGCGGCCCGGTCTGTGACCAGGCCTCCTGGTGGATCAGAGCCTGATCAACCAGGCTGTTGCTGCTGGCTGCACGCAAACAAACGTACGAGCCACAGCCCGGCTGATCAGGAACTGACTTTAGGTGCTTGTCCAGTGCCAGCTTGAAGACTGCCAGGGGTCTGTTGGTAATCCCCCTTATGTGTGCTGGGAGGCAGTTGAACAGTCTCGGGCCCCTGACACTTATTGTATGGTCTCTTAACGTGCTAGTGACACCCCTGCTTTTCATTGGGGGGATGGTGCATCGTCTGCCAAGTGGTGATAATATTTATACAATTATTACAATATTGCATAACAGTAAATCTTCTATTTTTTGGTGTGAATAAAAATTCATTATGTGAATAAAAAATCAAAATGGAATTTATTTGTAAAGCCTCAAAACATAACTAATGAACAGAGGAAATGTTAGTTTAGTGCCAGGAATACCTACATTGTTTATTCTGGGCTCTATTTTGAAATTGGAATATTTTGAACTTTATGTTAAATTGGCCAAATTACCAATCTCCGGTCACTTTATTTTGTAGTTGAAACAGTTGACTTGGCGATTTCTTGTGCCCAATTGATAGAATAGAAATAATACTAGTGAAATAGCTAAGAATTTGGTCGACTGGAATAATGTAATTGGACTAAAATGGGAGTCAAAGTCGGCAAAATCGCCAATTCGTAAATATCGCTGACACATCAAAATTCACGAGAGCATAATTTCGTCAATTTTCCATCAAATTTCGTACTTTTTGTTTTATTACATTCACAAAAAGATTCTCTACCATTTCATAAGAAATAATAACAATTTTTTTTTTTGAAAATTCTTGGACACTGGGGCACCACTTCAGATTTTGGCCTTGGACCCTGAAAGGGTTAAATAAAGTTCCACTAACTTTGAGTCTGCTAAAAAAAAAAAAAAAAATTCATACACTGTTGGTAGTCGGAAAACAATGTCAGATGGAAACGCTGAGAGGCTGATGCTCATGAAGGGCAACCAGCATCACATCAAAGCAATGGAGAAGGCCCAGCCATCATCTGATCTTGGAGTAATACCCATGCTATGCATTTTGTACAGTAAATAAAGTGTATGTTAGATTTAAACTGATGTTTGATTGCATTTGTTCATTTAACTATTTGTGTACACCTGTATAGCTGTATCACTGGTGCAGCTATAAGTTGGCCTCAAGGTTTCAACTTTAAGCAAGATTTTCAACTACTTGTTTGTAGTTTACGGAGTTCAAAATCAAAATTAAGTTAAATGCAAACATGAATAGAAACAGAATACAATGAGTAACTGGAACTAATGAAGAAAACAGTCAAATTAGCTAACTCGACCGTGTCCTTGTTGGTCGCTCATGTTATATCACAAAATTAAACAATTGCTATTTTCGCACTAGCGGCACTTGATCATCATATATCACCTTGGCATTCTATATCTTATTTAGGAAGTTCTCCAAGTTTGTTCTAAGTCTTAAAAGTAAAAGTAAAAGACCAAAAAACTAAACTGAATCTGAATTTGTATGAAAAAGTTAGCAGTTAGTGTTTAGCATTAGCTTCTGCTAATTTTTTCGGCTGTTTAGCATAAGTGGAACTAATATTTTAGTTTGCGGATTAGTAGTTAGCGAAGCTAACTTTTCTGTTAGCTGTGCCCACCACTGCTAAAGGCTACAATATGAATACAAATGGTAAGAAAAGGGTAGAGAAAACTGGTGGTTTACTTCAACACACCATGTGATAGCTCCAGTACGCTCTAGTGACCACTTTAAAAACTAATGAAACAATTTTGATTCCCAACGTTCACCAATTACTTCCTTTAGATTATTTCAATCCAGTTTAATGTGTTGTGCTTTGGAATGCTATTATAGATGAACAATCTGCTCTTAGCTTCTAGTTTTTAACATCTTGCAGGATGACCCCAAGAAAAGAAAAACACTTTTTTTTTTTTTTCAACAAGTCGGCCGTCTCCCACCAAGGCAGGGTGACCCAAAAAAGAAAGAAAATCCCCAAAAAGAAAATACTTTCATCGTCATTCAACACTTTCACCACACTCACACATTATCACTGTTTTTGCAGAGGTGCTCAGAATACAACAGTTTAGAAGCATATACATATAAAGATACACAACATATCCCTCCAAACTGCCAATATCCCAAACCCCTCCTTTAAAGTGCAGGCATTGTACTTCCCATTTCCAGGACTCAAGTCCGACTATATGAAAATAACCGGTTTCCCTGAATCCCTTCACTAAATATTACCCTGCTCACACTCTAACAGATCGTCAGGTCCCAAGTATCATTCGTCTCCATTCACTCCTATCTAACACGCTCATGCACGCTTGCTGGAAGTCCAAGCCCCTCGCCCACAAAACCTCCTTTACCCCCTCTCTCCAACCCTTTCGAGGACGACCCCTACCCCTCCTTCCTTTCCCTATAGATTTATATGCTTTCCATGTCATTCTACTTTGATCCATTCTCTCTAAATGACCAAACCACCTCAACAACCCCTCTTCTGCCCTCTGACTAATGCTTTTATTAACTCCACACCTTCTCCTAATTTCCACACTCCGAATTTTCTGCATAATATTTACACCACACATTGCCCTCAGACAGGACATCTCCACTGCCTCCAACCGTCTCCTCGCTGCTGCATTTACATTTACCATTATTCATTTCAGAGCTGTCTTTTCGAGAAACGCATAGACATTACAACTGAAATAAAGGCTTTTATATACAAGGAACCTATAATTTATAGATGGGACTTAGTCCAATTTCCAAATGAAATCACTTTCTGCAATTTTTTACTCATTACACATGAAACAACTTTAAAAATAAGGGATATCTGTGAACTATGAAGAACAATATAGATTATCTTTTGTCTAAAATGATTAGTAATTATTCTTTCTCACTGACATTACCAATATTATTATTATATTCATTGGTAAGTCTTGTACTCATAAGGGTCAAACAGAGCCTGAGAAATGGGGGTAATAAGGCTGGATTCAAGAGTAGAGCCGAGCTCCGATTCCTTGGATAAACAATTCTTCACCAGCATCATGGAACCTCTTGTGAAGGGACTGTATTATGACATAACCTATCCTGTAATGAAATACAATCACAATATCTTCAACAAATTTTCTTACCTGAAGTTGACCTCATTTTTTAAAGAACATCTTTCAAAAAATAAGCGTATTACAAGTAACCAAATTCTTTATTTTTTACCTGCACTTGGCTGTATCAATATCTCCTTCAGCAGATGTTCCAAGAATAGATCTAGCAAGTGCAATACTTGAAGCAGCAACATCTCTTTCTATTCTTGATCCTCCATACCGTGCATAGAAATCAGCATAGCACATTCTGATGACAATAAATATAAAGAGTAAATGGTAAGGTAAGTGGACATATCCAACTTAATGATATATATATTAAGGCAACTTTTTACCCACCAGAGGCTTTGTCAACTCAATATATATATTCAATGAATGTATATATTGAGGAGGAGGCAAATGTTCATTGTTATTATTGTAGTAGAAGTAGTAGTCAGCATAGTCACTGTATTAGTAGTACCAATTGTCCAGATGTCTCATGTGAGGTCAGTGTTAAGTGTTTGAAGTAGATTTATGATAGAATCTCAAGAGATTATAAAAATGCCCTAATTTTTCATAAGAGTTTCAGACATTTAAAGGGCTGACTCTACGCACTTGTGCTCCCACGTATCTGCTTCTGAGATAACGAGATGGGCATCCTTTTATTTCATACGGTGGTTTCCAATGCTGAATGCAGGTGTGCTAGTGAATCTTACATAGAACGCACAGAAGCTGAACATTTCCATATCATCATCACTAACAACATGTGGGTGTGTAGCGTGGATATCACTCATCACTCCAAGATGCTAAGATGTCCCCAAGCTACACAGAAGGCTCACTGCACCTGAGCCTTTGATTCAGTTTACATTAGAAGAGGAAACCGACAACAAACTCTCATTCCTTGACATCCTCATACACAAAGATGAGAATTCACTTAAGTTTAAAATCTACAGAAAACATACTACTATCTCTTCTGGCTCACAAATCTAGTGTAAGTCAGCAGGCTGCCACTAGATGGTTCTAGCTACAGTGAGAAATGACAAGAAAAACATTGGAAGGAGGTGAAATTGAGTAGAAAATGTTGTATGAGAGCCCTTACTGGGATGCAGTGTTGAGGAGTGTATTAGCATGCTAGCTGTGTTCTTAGTAAGTCATCAGAGAAATTGAAGATTAAGCATTTGAAGAGCTCTTAACTACTACTATAAATACACATTTTTATTTTAGGCAGTGTCAAGAAACAGAGATGGGAAATAAAAAAAATGCCAAAAACCCATATAGGTGTTATTTGCCTTCTGTAATGATATTCCTGAGTAGTCTTCAGCTGTATCAGTAAAAGAATAAAGGCCTGAATTTTTTTTTTTTTAATAACACATCAGTCATTTCCCACCAAGGTAGGGTGGCCCAAAAAAGACAAACTTTCACCATCATTCACTTCATCACTGTCTTGCCAGAGGTGCACTTACACTACAGTAATAAAACTGCAACATTAACATCCCTCCTTCAGAGTGCAGGCACTATACTTCCCATCTCCAGGACTCAAGTACGGCCTGCCGGTTTCCCTCAATCCCTTCATAAATATTACCCTGCTCACACTCCAACAGCACGTCAAATCCTAAAAGCTATTTGTCTCCATTCGCTAATAACACCCTCACGCATGCTTGTTGGAAGTCCAAGCCCCTCCCTCCAACCTTGCCTAGGCCAACCTCTACCCCGCCTTCCCTCCACTACAGATTTATACACTCTCAAAGTCAAACTATTTTGTTCCAACTCTACACGTCCGAACCACCTCAACAACTCCTTAGCCCTCTGGATAATAGTTTTGGTAATCCCACACCTCCTAATTTCTAAACTATGAATTCTCTACATTATATTCACACCACACATTGCCCTCAGACATGACATCTCCACTGCCTCCAGCCTTCTCCTTGTTGCAGCATTCACCACCCATGCTTCACATCCATATAAGAGCATTGATATAACTATACTCTCATACATTCCCCTCTTTGCTTCCATGGACAAAGTCTTTGTCTTCACAGACTCCTTAGTGCACCACTCACCTTTTTCCCTTCATCAATTCTATGAGCCACCTCATCTTTCATAGACCCATCTGCTGACACCTCCACTCCTAAATATCTGAATACATTCACCTCCTCCATACTTTCTCCCTCCAATCTTTCATCACCTAATTTTTTTATCCTCATCACCTTACTCTTTCCTATATTCACTTTTAATATTGTTCCTTTACATACCCTACCAAACTCATCCACCAACTTCTGCAACTTCTCTTCAGAATCTCCCAAAAGCACAGTGTCATCAGCAAAGAGCAACTGTGACAACTCCCACTTTGTGTTAGATTCTTTATCTTTCAACCCCACAACTCTTGCCAACACCCAAGCATTCACTTCTCTTACAACCCCAAAAAATTAATCAGTATAAAATTTCATGACGAAATAAAAAATGCCAAGAATAAGAGGACACTTACCTAACTGGATAGCCAGCCTGACTAATGCAGACAGTTTCAATAACGCCACAGGCTTTCAGCTGATGAAGAGTATACTCACGATCAACCATGCCTAAAATATTTTTAAAGTTTTATTAATTTACAATTTTATCATTTAAACCTGAGAAAAATAATGTATATACATCTTTGAGTAAATTGTATTATCATCATATTTATAAAAAAAAACTAGAGAATGTTACAGATACAACATACAAAAGAAATATTAACTAGATATTGTATAACTGCATGAGGGCTACTGAGGAAAGTATCCCTGTCAACTCTCACTTAAACTATTTTCTGGAATCTCAATGCAGTAATTCCTCACATTATACAGGATCATTTTATACAGCATACTGTATACCTGCAAAGTGTATATACCTCTTCTATTACTTGAACCTTGCAATAATATGCAATAATTCAGAATTTACAAACTTCTCCATTAGATGAGAAATTTCAGTGTTGTTTGCTGTGTCCCTCATTGAGTCCCATCCTCACTTGTCTTTTTGCCTTCTACCTCTCTCCCACAAAACACTAAGTGCATTCTAAAGAACTTGAGATTAAAACACCAAAGGAAAAAAACAGGACCTCATTACAGCTAATTTACATTAAACAAGGTAACTAATAAAAGGTTAACATACCTTGATATTCACTTACAGATAAAATGTTACCAAGTCTCACCTGCCAATGCTTCCTCACTGGGCTTTATACAATATATATAGTGCAATTATTACCAAATTTAAGAAGAAAATCTTTGTAAGTTTTCTTCTTTTTTGAGTCACCCTGCCTCGGTGGGAGACAACCAGTATGCTGAAAAAATAAAACTGTGTAATTCTAAGTCTCACCTGTCAAAGCTCCCTCACTGGGCTTTATACAACGTACATAGTGTAAATCACACTGAGACAATGTTTTCATTAATGTATCCACAGATGACTTGAACTTTGAGAGGGTGGTGATTTTGCGTGTTGTACGTCTTCCAGCTTCAATGTCCACACCATGTGTTCCAACTGTTAATTTACCAATAAAATCTTGGCTGCTTCCAGCTAACAGACCCCAGACCTCTTGGGGAACCTAGAAAGAGGCAATAACATTTAAAATATACACTAATTATCAAACAGTGTATAATTTAAATTTTAAAAAACAATCTACATTTTCAACACAGTACCTAATTTCCCAGTACCTGTTAATTCACCTATCTGTGTTTGCTTTTTTCTGTATATCCTACTGCTCAAGTATGGATTATGACTCATATATTAGCCCCAATGCTAGATGTATAATGCATGTTTGGCTACTGCTGCACTAATGTTTTTACAGCAAGTTTGTAAAAATATAGTTCAACAACTGTCTTGCCGAACATCTCCATCTATCCTTTAGGGTGAAGGCATTGTACGTAACTGTTTACTTCCTATGCCTGTTATTATCACACATGAAGTATATATAACTGTGTAAAGGTCAACAATGATTATGATATTTTTCATGTGATATTTTACATACGATATTTTTTCTGTCTCATAAACACGCTGGATAACAGGTATATCTTGCTACTTCAACTTACAATTAGGTCACACTACAGAGGCATACACATGCATGTATACACATACACACACGTACACCGTGTATGTCAGGCCCATACTGGAGTATGCAGCACCTGTTTGGAACCCGCACTTGATAAAGCACGTCAAGAAACTAGAGAAAGTACAAAGGTTTGCAACAAGGTTAGTTCCAGAGCTAAGGGGAATGTCCTATGAAGAAAGATTAAGGGAAATCGGCCTGACGACACTGGAGGACAGGAGGGTCAGGGGAGACATGATAACGACATATAAAATACTGCGTGGAATAGACAAGGTGGACAAGGACAGGATGTTCCAGGGAGGGGACACAGAAACAAGAGGCCACAATTGGAAGTTGAAGACACAAATGAGTCAGAGAGATAGTAGGAAGTATTTCTTCAGTCATAGAGTTGTAAGGCAGTGGAATAGCCTAGAAAATGACGTAGTGGAGGCAGGAACCATACACAGTTTTAAGATGAGGTTTGATAAAGCTCATGGAGCGGGGAGAGAGAGGGCCTAGTAGCAACCGGTGAAGAGGCGGGGCCAGGAGCTAGGACTCGACCCCTGCAACCACAAATAGGTGAGTACACATCTAGGTGTTGGGGAGGGGGGCAGGATTAAATTATGGGGAATCAAATACAAAATGGGAATTAACACAGTTATTTTTTGCTGATGATACTGTGCTTATGAGAGATTCTAAAGAAAAGTTGCAAAGGTTAGTGGACGAGTTTGGGAGTGTGTGTAAAGGTAGAAAGTTGAAAGTGAACATAGAAAAGAGTAAGGTGAGGAGGGTATCAAACGATGTAGATAAACAAAAATTGGATATCTCACTGGAGATAGAGAGTATGGAAGAAGTGAATGTTTTCAGATATTTGGGAGATGACTTGTCGGCAGATGGGTTTATGAAGGATGAGGTTATCCATAGAATTGATGAAGGAAAACAGGTGAGTGGTACATTGAGGTATATGTGGAGACAAAAAACATTATCTATGGAGGCAAAGAAGGGAATGTATGAAAGTAGAGAGGTACCAACACTCTTATATGGGTGCGAAACTTGGGTTGTAAATGCTGCAGCGAGGAGGCGATTGGAGGTGGTGGAGATGTCCTGTCTAAGGGCAATGTGAGGTGTAAATATTAAGCAGAGAATTCGGAGTGTGGAAATTAGGAGAAGGTGTAGAGTTAATAAAAGCATTAGTCAGAGGGCTGAAGAGGGGTTGTTGAGGTGGTTTGGTCATTTAGAGAGAATGGATCACAGTAAATGACATGGAGAGCGTATAAATCTGTAGGGGAAGGAAAGCGGTGTAGGGGTCATCCTCGAAAAGATTGGAGGGAGGGGGTAAAGGAGGTTTTGTGGGCGAGGGGCTTGGACTTCCAGCAAGCATGCGTGAGCGTGTTAGATAGGAGTGAATGGAGACAAATGATATTTGGGACCTGACGAGCTGTTGGAATGTGAGCAGGGTAATATTTAGTGAAGGGATTCAGGGAAACCGGTTATTTTTATATAGCTGGACTTGAGTCCTGGAAATGGGAAGTACAATGCCTGCACTCTAAAGGAGGGGTTCGGGATATTAGCAGTTTGGAGGGATATGTTGTGTATCTTTATAGGTATATGCTTCTAAACTGTTGTGTTCTGAGCACCTCTGCAAAAACAGTGATTATGTGTGAGTGAGGTGAAAGTGTTGAATGATGATGAAAGTATTTTTTTTTGGGTATTTTCTTTCTTTTTGGGTCACCCTGCCTCGGTGGGAGACGGCCAACTTGTTAAAAAAAAATAATAATAATACAGTGGACCCCCGCTTAACGATCACCTCCAAATGCGACCAATTATGTAAGTGTATTTATGTAAGTGCGTTTGTACGTGTATGTTTGGGGGTCTGAAATGGACTAATCTACTTCACAATATTCCTTATGGGAAAAAATTCGGTCAGTACTGGCACCTAAACATACTACTGGAATGAAAAAAGTTCATTAACAGGGGGTCCACTGTATAATACTATATAATAATACAATTGTAGGTAGTAGGTTGGTAGACAGCAACCACCCAGGGAGGTACTACCATCCTGCCAAGTGAGTGTAAAGTGGAAACCTGCAATTGTTTTACATGATGGTAGGATTGCTGGTGTCTTTTTTCTGTCTCTTAAACATGCAAGATTTCAGGTACATCTTGCTACTTCTACTTACACTTAGGTCACACTACACATACATGTACATGCATATATATATACACACCCCTCTGGGTTTTCTTCTATTTTTTTTCTAGTTCTTGTTCATTTCCTCTTATCTCCATGGGAAAGTGGAACAGAATTCTTCCTCCATAAGCTATGCCTGTTGTAAGAGGCAACTAAAATACCAGGAGCAAGGGCCTAGTAATCCCTTCTCCTGTATAAATTACTAAATTTAAAAAGAGAATTTTTTTTTTTTTTTTGGGCCACCCTGCCTTGGTGGGATACGGCCGGTTTGTTGAAAAAAAAAATATATAATACAGTGGACCCCCGGTTAACGATTTTAATCCGTGCAAGAGGGGTAATTGTTATGCGAAATAATCGTTATGTGAATGAATTTTCCCCATAAGAAATAATGGAAATAAAATTAATCCGTGCAAGACACCCAAAAGTATGAAAAAAAAAATTTTACCACATGAAATATACATTTTCCCACACACAAAGAGAAGGATACATGCACAATAGTAGAGTAGTACATGCACAGTATATATTGTGCATGTACTACTCTACTAAATGAAGAATAAATGACACTTACCTTTATTGAAGATGCAGCAATGACTGATGAGACACTGTGTCCTGGGAGTGCCTTTTCCTCCTGAGTACTGTAGGTCCTGTTTGGCATTTTCTTCCAGAACAGGCCTTATCACACTGTGTATGCCACTACGATTCTTAAATCTCTCAAACCAACCTTTGCTGGCTTTAAATTCACCAATATGAGCACTAGTTCCAGGCATTTTTCCCTGTTCACCTGGGTGTTAGTCGACTGGTGTGGGTTGCATCCTGGGAGACAAGATTAAGGACCCCAATGGAAATAAGTTAGACAGTCTTCAATGACACTGACTTTTTTGGGTTATCCTGGGTGGCAAATCCTCTGGGGTTAATTGTTTCTTGGTATTCTCAATAAGCCACACCAACAACGGTGCTACAGCAGCAGCAGCAGCTGACGGTGGTACAGCAGCAACAGACGGTGGTACAGCAGCAACAATGCTACAGCAGCAGCAGACGATGCTACAGCAGCAGCAGCAGCAGACGATGCTACAGCAGCAGCAGCAGCAGCAGACAATGCTACAGCTGCAGCAGACGATGCTACAGCAGCAGCAGACGATGCTACAGCAGCAGCAGCAGCAGCAGACAATGCTACAGCAGCAGCAGACGATGCTACAGCAGCAGCAGCAGCAGCAGACAATGCTACAGCAGCAGCAGACGATGCTACAGCAGCAGCAGCAGCAGACGATGCTACAGCAGCAGCAGCAGCAGCAGACAATGCTACAGCAGCAGCAGACGATGCTACAGCAGCAGCAGCAGCAGACGATGCTACAGCAGCAGCAGCAGCTGACAGTGCAGCAGCAGCAGCAGCAGCAGCTGTACCACCAATAGTAGCGATACTTATCAATGATCTTTTTCTTCTTCTCTATTGTAATTCTCACCCTTATTGCTGTAGGGTTGGCACTAGAAGCTTTCTTGGGGCCCATGGTCACTTATTTTCCAGAAAAAGCACCAAAAACACTGTAATAATACGAAATATTCCGATTGTATGCTTGGATGTTACCGCGGAGGCTGGCTGGTAAACAATGCCACCGGCGGAACATGTGAGCGTGGCTCAGGCTGCACATTGGACGCGTCTCGGAGGAAAATCGGTAAGCGGGTTTTTAAGCGGTATGTGAGGCAAAATTTTTGCAATTAACGTAAGCGGTATGCGAAATAATCGCTATGTGATGCCATCGTTATGCGGGGGTCCACTGTAATACGTAATAGTACAATAATAATAATTATAATAATAATACTATGTATGTACTGCATATAATTTAGTTTAGTTTGACACCACCACCACAATGCTCACCAGTGCACATGTGCTTACAGACCTACCCTCGTGGTGCAAGGAATTCTCATGATTTCCTTACGTTTCGTGCAGTTAATTCATCAGATTTCTTTCTTCTAACCATGGGTCCTAAGAAAGCAAGTGCAAAGGACAGTGCCGAGAAGAAAAAGAGGATGATTTGCATAGAATTAAAGCAAGAAATCATTGATAAGCATAGACTAGGTACGAGGACTTGGCGAGTGAGTACAAGCGCAGCCCCTCTACTATATGTACAATACTAAAGCAGAAGGAGTCTATAAAAGCTACAGTGCCAGAAAAAGGCATTACAGTAATTTCTAAGCAGCGGACCTCTGTCGATGAAAAAATGGAAAAGCTGCTGTTGACATGGTTGATGGAGAAACAGCTCACAGGAGATACGTAGTGTAGCGAGATAAACAAAAATTGTACATAACAGTTCTTAAGGAAAGTGTGAACTCCTGACAAGATATGCCACTCTGCATTTCTTCTCCAAGGTATGTAAATGTCGTATGTACACCAGATCTAATTCAGTTAGCCTCACAAACTCCATTTTCTCTTATAATAATACCTCTGACGTTTTCATAGCGAGAATGTGCGACCACTCTTGTGACCGCAATCCTCCTCTCTCCACTGTCCACGTAATGACATATTTTATTCATTCTAGAGTGCATATCAGATTTCTATGTTATTTATATTGTTTATTATGTCATATTAGATGAACTGTGATAGATAAATAAGCCGTAGAGTTGATATTAGGGTTATTTTATCATGCCTCTTGAGAGCAGGAATTCAGCTGGAAAGAATTAATTGCATTTCAATGAGGAAAATTGATCCAGCATACAAACAAATCAGGATATGAATAAGTCCACAGAACAGATTAAATTCGTAAGCCGAGGTTCCACTGTACTCCAAAACACCTGAATTAAGTACTATTGCACTGTGTTTGTACATTATGCATTAACCCATTTTGCAGAAGGAAATTATGCTTAAATACATTATTGCTCAACTTTCAATGTTTTTTGTTAGCCTCAGCAAACTTATTTTTTTCCCTAACATATCCTAAGCTCTCCATAAGCTTTCATTGTCCACAACACACCTCATTTAAACAACTCTTTAAAAAAAAAAAAATACAAATTTTGAAACTTAACTCAAGCCTCACCTCATCCTTATTCTTGTGTAGCAGACCTTCTGCATCATACTTGACAGGTCCAGCATAGTGACAGATGACAAAGCCAGGTGTGTGTTTGGGGGAGGATGGAGCACACACTAACCCGGTGTGCTCTAGAGCCTTGCACACACGGTTACATGCCTCATCCTCCTTCACATCACGCTTCAACTGACACTCCTGTATTAAACATTAATGCTAGTATTACCATGGAACTAATTCCCACATATTAGTTTTGTTATGCAACAGAAATTATACTATTTGCCACAAGAATGTATATGCATCCAATACAATGTTGCCTAATTTCACAGTACTTACATCATTAGTATTAATAGCCATGATGCATAAAAAAAAAAGAGAAAAGGTTTAGATGAAAAAGAACTAATAGAGAAAAGAATACATGTGCAATAAAATCTTCAAATAATCTTTGACTTGAAAAAGTCTCTATTTTATTTTCTATACACCTGTAGTGTTCTGAGAAGGAAGGCTATTTCCATTACAAATTGTCAGAAAAATATTAAAAGTATTAAGCTATAGCAGCAAAAAATGGTACATATACTTTTTATATTTCTTAAGTAAAATGTGGTAAAATTATTTAATGATTCAGCAGTTTTTCTGAGAAAAATAAAAGGAAGTTAAATAATGCATATATAAATGCATACTTTCTATAAAAAACTTTAACAAATTTAAAGATTTCAAAATCATTCACTATCCAACAGATTTTGTCCATAAAATCCAAAATACTTTAAAACTGAGATCTGTTAAATTTATGTGTTTTTCAATAGCACCTTCAGGGTACAAATATTTTCAAATGGTTATGTCTGAACTGACATTATGAGAGAGACATTGTGCTAACTTTATTATGTTCATATACGAACCTCATTGAGAATGGCAAAGACTGAAATGCGGGAATCAAGAGCCCTAACACAGCTAGAGTTATCAGTATAGGGTACATCCATGCCAAGTAAACCTTCTTCTTTGAGCATCTGTAAAGATAAATTAAAAAAAAATATAATGCAAGATAATACCTATAGTAGTGCATACATGTTTTAAATACAGTATATATAAAAACATAAGAATGTTTTTTTCTATTATCTACAATATTCAATTTCTCATCATTCTATACACTATATGCTGCTTAAATTTATTCCTATCCATCAGTAGTAGATCAAGCAAGCTAAGCCATTTTTAAAAATCACAAAAGGCATTTGAAGAATGCAAACTACTAATCAAATGTAAGTACTCTCTTTTTTTATCCTCTTTTAAATGTACAATTCACTAATGTAAACTAAAGGCAGTACCTGGTGTTCAGCAGAAAGATATCTAAATGTGAATGCTTGCTGTAGTCTCTCATTGGCATAATTAATGCATAACTGTTCAAGACTGTTTTGCTCGAATGTTTCAAATCCATACACATCCAAAATCCCTGAAAAATAAAAAAAAAACTTTAACTCAATGAGAGCAAGGGGATAGTAACCCCTTCTCCTGTATATATTACTAAATTTAAAAGGAGAAACTTTTGTTTTTCCTTTTGGGCCAACCCGCCTCAATGGGATATGGCCAATGCGTTGAAAGAAGAACTTTAACTTAAGTATATTTGACACTCTGCTCCTGAGTATTGTATGCCTGTTTTGTCAGAACTATTACAGATACTAAACAGCTACAATTTTTTCAGGACTAAAAGGACACTAGTTGTGTGATGAGAACTTTAAAACAAATAGTATCACAAAATGATTAGTAACTTTCACATACATGAATATTTTATGTCAAACCCCATGGGGAACCTTGTCTTAATACTCTATTATTCCTTGTATTTGGGAAGGCTAATGGAGATCATGGGGGTATTCCACCTCCCTTGTCCCCTTCCTTGGTGCCTCCACTGCATATGAATTACAACACCTGCATATTTCTGGTAAGACAAATATTAACTAAAAGAAGGTGAATGTGTTTCCCTCTATGCATTACCTTACTTTGGTGGGAGATGGCTGATGTGGTTATAGAGAAATCCAAATCTGTCAAACTCTAATTAAGCACAAATGCTGAAGTGGAAATACATTATTATTATGGCCAACAAAAATGAACCATCATTAAGAAAAAATTATTACTATTAAATACTTTCCCAGTGAAGCATCTAAGGTAACTAAAGATAATCTTTTAAAGTTTTCCTTGAAGAATCACACTAATACATTAAGAATTTAAATACAGTGGACCCTCGACTAACGCTATTAATCCGTTCCTGAGAGCTCATCGTTAGTCAAGTTATTTTTCCCCATAAGAAATAATGGAAATTAAATTAATCCGTGCAAGTCACCCAAAAGTATTGAAAATTTTTTTTTTTTAACACATGAAATATTAATTTTAATACACACAAACTGAAGAAGACATGCACAGTTACATGACACTTACCTTTATTGAAGATCTGGTGATGATTGATGGGATGGGAAGAGGGGAGTGTGTTGATGGTCTTAGTGTTTAGAAGGGGAATCCCCTTCCATTAGGACTTGAGGTGGCAAATCCTTTTTCGGGGTTACTTCCCTTCTTTTAATGCCACTAGGACCAGCTTGAGAGTCACTGGATCTCTGTCGCACAACATATCTGCCCATAGAGGCCTGTACCTCCCGTTCCTTTATGACATTCCTAACGTGTTTCACAACATTGTCAGTGTCACCATTAAACACTTGTTCAGGTTTCAGTCCTTCACTGTCTATGTACTCCTTGAATTCCTGCACATTTTTCAGCTGCTTTTTGGTCCAAACTGGCAGCCTCACCATGCCTTATCACACTATGTATGCCACTACGATTCTTAAATCTCTCAAACCAACCTTTGCTGGCCTTAAATTCACTCACATCACCACTAGTTGCTGGCATTTTTCTAATTAAATCATCATGCAACTTCCTAGCCTTTTCACATATGATCGCTTGAGAGATGCTATCTCCTGCTATCTGTTTTTCGTTTATCCATACCAATAACAGTCTCTCAACATCTTCTATCACTTGCGATCTCAGTTTCGAAAACATAGTTGCACCTTTGGCAAGAACAGCTTCCTTGATTGCCGTTTTCTTGGCCACAATAGTAGCGATGGTTGATTGGGGTTTTGTGTACAGCCTGGCCAGCTCGAAGACATGCACTCCACTTTCATACTTAGCAATGATCTCTTCCTTCATATCCATAGTAATTCTCACCCTTTTTGCTGTAGGGTTGGCACTAGAAGCTTTCTTGGGGCCCATGGTGACTTATTTTGCAGGTGCAATCACTAAAAAGGCTGTGATAATATGAAATGTTCCGATTGTATGCTTGGAAGCGACCGTGGTGGCTGGCTGGCTTGTAAACACTGGCCAGAAGTGGACGCGTCTCAGACGGAAGGAATAGTGTTGGTCGAGTTTTTTAGCGCTAATCGAGGCAAAATTTTTGCGATAAAATGTATCGCTAGTCAGATTTATCGTTAATCGATGCCATCGCTGGTCGAGGGTCCACTGTATTTTTAGATGAGACAACCAAATCCTAAAAATACTCTTACCTAAAAAATGTGACCAGACAGTCCTGTCAGCTCTGATTTTGTCGTTGATGAAGTTAACTATGTGAATAAACAGACACTGGTATATGAGCTGCATTAAAGCATCGCGGCGCTCTACACATTGCCTCCTACGTTCACATGGCTTATGAAACACACTAACCTGCAACACAAAAAAGGTATATAAATCAAAAATTTTATTTTTCCTGATTTGAAAAAGAGGAAATGCACCCAAAAATATATCAATTCTTTCAAAAACATTTTTGTTTTTAAAACACTAATAATTCCCCAAGACAGAGATTTTCAAAGAAAAAAAAAAATTCAACATTACTCACTCCCTAGCTGCCTTTCCAAAGGAGCAAAGGCCAATGCTGATCCATGAAACATCACCATCGCTCTAACTTTTAAAGTACATGAACCAAAATTTTGAACTCCAAACTCAAGTTCAGCTATCTTTTATGTTACCATGTTAACATTTTATTAGCAAATCAAATTCCATGAACTACTCATTCCAATCTAACATGTTTGCACATGCCAGCTGGATATACAAACTTAAAAAGTAAAATAATTTACCCTCTAAAAGACATTTAAGTAAGTGATGGTGAATGTGCTTTCCTTTAGCAGTCGATTCAGATGTCCAACCCTAAGTGGACAACATTTAGGAGCCCTTTCAGAGGGCCCCCTTGCTACTGTTAGCTATTGCTCTATAGGAAATTAAATTTTTCCACTAGAACCACGATGCAGGATTGATTATATGACTGATGCTGGCCCACTGTGATCATGATGTCACATAAACTATTTAAAAAACAAAAACTATTCAACAATATATCACAGTGATTACGTATGAATGATGGTGAAAGTGTTTCTTTCTTTCTTTTTTGGGTCACCCTGCCTTGGTGGGAGATAGCCGATGAGTTAAAAAAAAATATCAGAGCCCAAAAATATTTGTTTTCCTTTTAAAATCATATTAAAAACAGTTTGCATAATATGTAAATAAATATTTGTCATTGCATGACCACAAACTGTCAAACATTACAGATGGGGTGTGACTCATGAAGGGTTAAGACACAGACAGCTAACAATTCAGGACCCTCTGCCATTTCCCTTGGTGGGAGATGGCCATATTAAAAATTTTTTTTGATTGGTCATGTAGTAGAGTACAGTAGTAATATAGGGATAAAGCAACACCTCTTGAATACTGATAATATTAGTAGTTCCTCTATTTAATAAGCATAATGTATATTTTTATGGTCATATACTACTTTGAAATCTTTAACATATTTAAGTGTCATACAAGAGAGATGAGGTTATACAAGAGAGAATATATAAGAAAACAGTCAACAAAATATTAATACTCTCTAATGAAATGACATGCTCTTAAACAATATGTATATGTACATATGTGGTATTTTCTGTTCATGCAGTTATTATCACAAATCTTCTGTAGGATTAAATCTCCTCATTAAAAGCTTGTACCATACTAACCTTCTGGGCACTACTAACACTGAAGGTATGGACTGTTAGAGTATTAACCAGCTGGTCCTCATGTAACCCCAGCAATACACAAGCTCCTTGTAAGCTCCTCACACATTCTGGAAGTTATTAATATAATATTTGTACCTTTTCACTTATGAATTGCAGGAATAAAGAACCATTCACTCCTGGCAGTTTCAGTTATGATGGAGAAAAATTCTCACAACTTGGAAAGAAAAGTTGCAGATTTACAAAACAAATTCAAGGAATGAACTGGAAAGTGAAGGTGGTAATAGAAGAGTAAATGTAAGTATGGGTTATTGAGAGTAACACAGTATCTCTATACTCATGAGACAAGGAAAAACCAGCAATCACGTCAATGCAAAAAACTAAAAGGCTTCTGTTTTATCATTCATATGTTCTTAATAATATCTACTCAATACAGTGGACCCTCGAATTTTATCATCCCTTTTCTGAATGTGAAACTATAGTTTTTTTTTTAAACAAGTCGGCCGTCTCCCACCGAGACAGGGTAACTATAGTTATTCTCTATAAAATGTAATTTTTTGTTAATATTTCTGGGTGTCTGGAATGGATTAATTGGATTTACATTATTTCTTAAGGGAAATATTAACAAAAAATACAGTTTTACATTCAGAAAAGGGATGATGAAATTCGAGGGTCCATTGTATTAAGTTATTGTACCACATGTAAAAATAATAAAAAAATAATAACGTAATTTACCTGTGCTTGCTTTATTTACAGTCCAATTAGTTTGTCCCTCTTCTTGAATAAAAGTGATGTTCCCCAAGTAAAGTAACGCTGCTATAACCTAAACAAAAATTATTCAGTTTTATTTAGCAAGAAATAAAAATAACATCAATACATTTATTATTTGCAAGATGCCAAAAAAACTTTCATTACAAGTTCTAGCAAATTGTCTTAACAGTATTGGTATTGAAATTTAGTGTCAAGTTAAAACAACCAATTTTTAGATGTTGATGTCTTATAAAAGAAATAGTATTTTCTCTAATTCGTACAACTTGGCTAAATTTGTGCCAATTATCACACAAAAAATATTGCTACAGTACATCATTAAGCTAGGTTTTATCAAATAACCTAAAAGCTACACTCTCCTATCAATTGAAGGGCTACTAAGAGCGTGTTAGTAGTAGTCATGGCTTCACCAACATGATCCAAGGCACGCATAACGGCAATTATATCATACAGATTATTTTTCACTGATAATGAGGCAGACAGGTGATGGTGAAGGGGGTGCCAAGAGAGGACTGAAGCCCTCCAAGTCTCCATCAACTCTTTAAATCCTCCAAATAAAAATAATAATAATGCTACAGCTTCAAGACCAGTCTCCTAGCCCCTCCTTTGAACTGGAGTACCACCTCTAAGCCCTTCCTATATAAGAATTCCGGAGCTGCCAATGGGGCAGAGTAAACACTTCACTAATCACCAACAATTTAGAGGAAGCACTAGACAACATTTTGGTCTGTCTTGGAACATTCCAGTCATGACTTGACAATGGTCCAAGATAGACCAAAATGTTGTCTACAGGTTCAGCTCCAAATTGAGGGTGGGTTGTGATTTGCTCCAGCCATGGCATTAGTGCTATTTATTCTTCTGAATAAACACTTATAGAATAAAAAAAAAATTTGAAGCCCTATAACAGTATTCACTGTAGCAATGACAAATCATAGTAGCAGCATTGCTTCTCTAAAGCTTTAAAAATTATAAAAGCACGTCATTTTATCAGACAGAAACCCTTGTATTCTTAATATTTTTTACCTTAAATATTTCATTCTGGTGGCTCCTTGAAAAATTCAGCTGCTGGAATGCATGCAACGTCTCTTGTAAATTAGCAAGGTCAGACGAAGTTGCCTCTCCCAGCAGTATGTTGTAGGTCTCTTCACTTTCAAACAAGTCTTTTAGCAGCCCCGATCTGACACCTGATAACACCTGTTGATTTAAAAAATACTATTATTTTTTGTATTAGCATTTTCAAGTGGAAGTGCTAAGCCTATAAGTTATGCAGTGCATTGTCCAGTAGTTTTAAGACTGCTTGGAATACACCACAAAACAAAAGGCTTTCCTGTAAATCAGTACATGTACATGAAGCTTTTTTTTTATATAAAAATTGTATACCTTATTTACTGCACATAAACATTTTTATTTTCAATTGGGAGATAATTAAGTTTGATCCAAGGAAAAGGAAGATAGCCACAATTCTTTGGATCAAGAGTCCTTTACAGTCATCAAGGCACTCCCATTGATATGTAAAGTAATACAATTAATTTTAGCTTTCTGGTTAAGTTTTGAGTAAGCTATCATAGATTTTTAATACTTTTGATATGAAACTTCCTCTTAGGGTCAAAGAAAAAAAAAAATGAAATAATAGAAAATCTTCCGAATGTAATGAAACCAAAAGTACAAAATGTGATGAAAAATTTCTGGAATTACGCTATCGTAGAGTGTGCGGTCTCGGTAATATTTATGCATTGGTGATATCACTAACTTTGAGCCCTATTTTCAGCCAATTTCCATTCCTCCAGTTGACCAAATTCATAACTATTTCACTAGTATTCCTTCTATTCTATCGACTGAGTACAAAAAAATTGCCCATTTACCTACTTCACCCACCCAATAAAGTGATCAGAACTCAGTAATTTTGCCAATATCACACAAAATTAAAAAATTGGCAATTTCAAAATAAGGTTCAGAATAAACAATGTAGATATTCCTGGCATTAAAACATTTCCTTTGTTCATTAGTCATATCCTCAGGCCTCCCCTATATAATGCGTGCTTTCCACTTTTAATCTTTATTCACATAAAAAAATAGAGGATTTACTGTTATGCAGACTATTGCATTATTGTAATAATTGTATGAACAATGTCAGGGCATTTGTGAACACATATTAGACCGACCATTTGGACAGGTATTGGACAAGTGACGTAATTTGTGTACTCTGGAATATCGGCAAAAATTGAACATTTCCACTAATTTGAGCTCAATTTCAAGCTACTTTCAGTCCTGAAACCAATCTTGGTCTCATTCCATCAAATGAGACCAAGAAACCAAAAATACAAACATAAAAACCATATGAAATTACTACACCACAAAGTCGCTGTTTTAAACCAAAAACAGTCACAGTTTTATCCCCATTATGCACTGCATGCTATAGGATTTTTTTTTATGTGATGTACACTTACTGCATAGACCCATTCTCTCATTATTTAGGCCCAAAGTTACCACTCATAGCTCACCTGTGAGAACTAAGCTCATGGTGTAGAACTACAGGACCGACCTGGGCTTCAAAGCCGTAGAACAAATGGGACTGACCTCGAAAGGGTTAACTAAAAAAAAAATTCTATGTCTAAGACACTCTTGCTCAAAAAGAAAAAACTGTAAGAACCTGGTAAAATATGTGGAAGTTACGTTCATTTTCCGTCTGGTGAGTCACCCTGGTTTTCTCAAGTAAGTAAGTATCAATCTCAGCCCCTCGCAACTGCTGGCCTCCATACTGTAGACGGATAAGTTTGCCAAATCTGAAACAAGTGATAGGAAGGGTGTGTATGTGAATACTAGAAACTCATTGTTGAGTAAAATAAAAAACTTACAAAATCTTATTTTGGATATTTCATGTTGTTTTATATATTCATGATATACACAGCTACAATAAGTTTGCAAGAAATTTATGATATGAACAAGCAGTTTGATTTCAATATTATAATGTACAGCACATACCTTTGTATAATGACTTTAATAGGATTATAGGATTATTCCAATGCCATATGTAATGAATTTGTTGAAACTGTTTAATTAACCAGAATCATAAACCACTTTTAAAAATTAATAAATAAATAAAATAAATATTTTTTTATTAATTACAAGTTTTAGTTTTACTGTAGTTACAGTTACAATGCAAAAAAAAAAAACTCAAGAACTTTCATTTTTATATACAGTAGGGCCCCGCTTTACGGCATTTCGCTTTACGGCGTTCCGCTAATACGGTCATTTCAAATTATGACCAAAACTCGTTATACGGCTCCCCTCACTTGACTTTCTAATATGGTCACCGTGCCCCACCCAGTTTGTCTGCAATCTCTGTGAGATCTGTAAGCACTAAGTCTCTCTATTATGTCTGGAAACTACTAAATTTCAAGTGTTTTTAAATGTTATTTCATATTTTATATATACATGTACTCTGATAATTATACTACTTATGTATACCTGTACCTAAATAAACTTACATACTGTGCTGGCGTGCAGGTACACATTAAAATCAGTAAGAGAGTCTTATATCTCGAGACGTCATATTAGTAATGATAATAATAATCACTGAGTCTCATTTAAATGTTGTATATTACGTTAATATACACATTTTCATTAATCCATCTATGATATTTTTTCAAAATTATATAATAAACACGATGCATAACATATAAAGATGATAAATACACCCCACAGTAGAATAAATAAACATAAATATGAGATGTGGTAGCCAGACAACTTGCACAAATGACGCCATATTAGAAATGATAATATTAATAATAATCACCGAATCTCATTAAATGTCGTATATTACGTTAATATACACATTTTCATTAATCCATCCATGATATTTTTTTCAAAATTACAGTAGACCCCCGCCTTACGATATTAATCCGTTCCTGAGAGCTCATTGTAAGCCAAAATTACCATTAACCGAATTAATTTTCCCCATAAGAAATAATGGAAATCAAATTAATCCGTTCCTGACACCCCAAAGTATGAAAAAAAAAAAAATTACCACATGAAATATTAATATTAATACAAACAAACTGAAGAAGACATGCACAATTACTACTCTACTAAGAATAGAATACATGATGGGATGGGAGGAGGGGAGTGTGTGGAAGTTATTGTTTAGAAGGGGAATCCCCTTCCATTAGGACTTGAGGTAGCAAGTCCTTTTCCGGGGTTACTTCCCTTCTTCTTTTAATGCCACTAGGACCAGCTTGAGAGTCACTGGACCTCTGTAGCACAACAAATCTGTCCATAGAGCTCTGTACCTCCCGTTCCTTTAAGACTTTCCTAAAATGGGCCATAACATTGTCATTGTACAGGTTGCCAACACGGCTTGCAGCAGCTGTGTCAGGGTGATTTTCATCCGTAAAGGTTTGCAGTTCAACCCACTTTGCACACATTTCCTTACTCTCTTTTTTCAATTCCATAGTAATTCTCGTCCTTTTTACCACAGGGATGGCACTAGAAGCTTTCTTGGAGCCCATGGTGACTTATTTTGAAGTTTTTTTTTTTTTTTTTTTTTTTTCAACAAGTCGGCCGTCTCCCACCGAGGCAGGGTGACCCAAAAAAGAAAGAAAATCCCCAAAAAGAAAATACTTTCATCATCATTCAACACTTTCACCACACTCGCACATTATCACTGTTTTTGCAGAGGTGCTCAGAATACAACAGTCTAGAAGCATAAACATATAAAGATACACAACATATCCCTCCAAACTGCCAATATCCCAAACCCCTCCTTTAAAGTGCAGGCATTGTACTTCCCATTTCCAGGACTCAAGTCCGACTATATGAAAATAACCGGTTTCCCTGAATCCCTTCACTAAATATTACCCTGCTCACACTCCAACAGATCGTCAGGTCCCAAGTACCATTCGTCTCCATTCACTCCTATCTAACACGCTCACGCACGCTTGCTGGAAGTCCAAGCCCCTTACCCACAAAACCTCCTTTACCCCCTCTCTCCAACCCTTTCGAGGACGACCCCTACCCCGCCTTCCTTCCCCTATAGATTTATATGCTTTCCATGTCATTCTACTGTGATCCATTCTCTCTAAATGACCAAACCACCTCAACAACCCCTCTTCTGCCCTCTGACTAATACTTTTATTAACTCCACACCTTCTCCTAATTTCCACACTCCGAATTTTCTGCATAATATTTACACCACACATTGCCCTTAAACAGGACATCTCCGCTGCCTCCAACCGTCTCCTCGCTGCTGCATTTACCACCCAAGCTTCACACCCATATAAGAGTGTTGGTACTACTATACTTTCATACATTCCCTTCTTTGCCTCCATAGATAACGTTTTTTGACTCCACATATACCTCAACGCACCACTCACCTTTTTTCCCTCATCAATTCTATGATTAACCTCATCCTTCATAAATCCATCCGCCGACACGTCAACTCCCAAGTATCTGAAAACATTCACTTCTTCCATACTCCTCCTCCCCAATTTGATATCCAATTTTTCTTTATCTAAATCATTTGACACCCTCATCACCTTACTCTTTTCTATGTTCACTTTCAACTTTCTACCTTTACACACATTCCCAAACTCATCCACTAACCTTTGCAATTTTTCTTTAGAATCTCCCATAAGCACAGTATCATCAGCAAAAAGTAACTGTGTCAATTCCCATTTTGAATTTGATTCCCCATAATTTAATCCCACCCCCTCCCAAACACCCTAGCATTTACTTCCTTTACAACCCCATCTATAAATATATTAAACAACCATGGTGACATTACACATCCCTGTCTAAGACCTACTTTTACCGGGAAGTAGTCTCCCTCTCTTCTACACACCCTAACCTGAGCCTCACTATCCTCATAAAAACTCTTTACAGCATTTAATAACTTACCACCTATTCCATATACTTGCAACATCTGCCACATTGCTCCTCTATCCACTCTATCATATGCCTTTTCTAAATCCATAAATGCAATAAAAACTTCCCTATCTTTATCTAAATATTGTTCACATATATGCTTCAATGTAAACACCTGATCTACACATCCCCTACCCACTCTAAAACCTCCTTGCTCATCCGCAATCCTACATTCTGTCTTACCTCTAATTCTTTCAATTATAACCCTACCGTACACTTTTCCTGGTATACTCAGTAAGCTTATTCCTCTATAATTTTTACAGTCTCTTTTGTCCCCTTTCCCTTTATATAAAGGGACTATACATGCTCTCTGCCAATCCCTAGGTACCTTCCCCTCTTTCATACATTTATTAAACAAAAGTACCAACCACTCCAACACTATATCCCCCCCTGCTTTTAACATTTCTGTCATGATCCCATCAGTTCCAGCTGCTTTACCTCCTTTCATTTTACGTAATGCCTCACGTACCTCCCCCACACTTACATTCTGCTCTTCTTCACTCCTAAAAGATGGTATACCTCCCTGACCAGTGCATGAAATTACTGCCTCTGTTTCTTCCTTAACATTTAAAAGTTCCTCAAAATATTCTCGCCATCTACCCAATACCTCCATCTCCCCATCTACTAACTCCCCTACTCTGTTTTTAACTGACAAATCCATATTTTCCCTAGGCTTTCTTAACTTGTTTAACTCACTCCAAAATTTTTTTTTATTTTCATTAAAATTTCTTGACAGTGCCTCTCCCACTCTATCATCTGCTCTCCTTTTGCACTCTCTCACCACTCTCTTTACCTTTCTTTTACTCTCCATATACTCTGCTCTTCTTATAACACTTCTGCTTTGTAAAAACCTCTCATAAGCTACCTTTTTCTCTTTTATCACACCCTTTACTTCATCATTCCACCAATCACTCCTCTTTCCTCCTGCCCCCACCCTCCTATAACCACAAACTTCTGCCCCACAAGCACTAAAAACACTGGGACAATGTGAAATGTACCGAATGTATGCGTAGATGTGACCGCACTGGCTGGCTTGTAAACACTGGCACTGAGGCCACACGTGGGACGTGTCCCGGACGAATCACGTAAGGCGAGTTTTTTATCATGAGGTGAGGCAAAATTTTTGCATTCAAATGCTTCGTATGGTGGATTTAACATAACGTGATGCGTTCGTAAGGTGGAGGCCCACTGTATATAATAAACACGATACATAACATATAAAGATGATAAATACACCCCACAATAAAATAAATAAATATGAGATGTCGTAGCCAGATAACTTGTACAAGTGACGGCAAGAATAACATTTTCTCTAGTCTAACGTAAGAGAAAATGTGTTACTGGGGGTAGCTGTAGAAAATTACATATTCCTTTTGTATGTAAGTTTATTCAGGTATACACAAATACAGTTACATAGATTATCATACATAACAGCATATGTGTAGAGAACCTAGGATAACCCAAAAAAGTCAGAGTGACTTATTTCCACTGCCTTCACTCAGAGCGTCATTTCTTCTAAAAATGGTGTTACATGAGAATGGGAGTGTTCTTCTTTATTTATTCTACCATATCAATGTAGAGACAACTTGCACACAAACCAGACGTGTACAATTTGTTTGTTTACAAAACTTACATTCACCTGGTTTGTTTACATAACTCTATGCCTGTCCTCCCTCATATACTCATTCTCTCTCTCTCTCTCTCTCTCTCATTTATTCGTTTTATCTCGTTTACTCACCCCTGACCCTACATTAAGACTACAAATATTTTAAGGTAAGTAATGAGTGAACTGTATATGCATTTTATCGCTCTGGGATGCTTAAGTATCATAGAATAGTATGTGTGGGTGGAATGGCCTAGTATGGTAGCCCAGCTGACTACCATACATACCACACTTGATTTCTTATAATAAAATAATAAATACTACTTGTCTCACCCTAGATTAAGACTATAAATATTTTAAGGTAAGTAATGAGTGCACTCTGTGCGTATTGTACTTTTTTATTGTTTTTTTTGATGCCTAGTTCTATTGCTAACTTAATATATGTTAGTGTAAACTTTTGTATGCATTTATAAGGAAAAAAAAAAAAAGGGTGTTCCACTTTACGGCGATTTCCGCTTTATGGCGGTAGCCTGGAACCTAACCTGCCGTATAAGTGGGGCCCTACTGTAATTACAATTGTTTGTCTGTCTCGTCTGCATCACTCCCCTTAAAAAACAAACTACCTCTGCAAAGAACTAGATGAACCAGGTTGTGGTTGCTATGTGGGTGAGAGGGCCACCAACAGCAAGAGTCTGGCTGAACAGGTAATTAACAGAGAAAGCCTGGCCCAAGGCCAGGTTGAGGTGATAGAAAAGCCCTCAAAATTAGTCAAAGGCAAGTCAGATTAAAAAACAATCTATCAAACTACCTCATATTAATATGTAATAAACAAACTTAATTACAAACTTAAAAATGTCTGTCTGTATCATAAATTGTACTACCTTATACGTATTAATATTTTTTTATTAGCACACTGGCCGATTCCCACCAAGGCAGGGTGGCCCGAAAAAGAAAAACTTTCACCGTCATTCACTCCATCATTGCCTTGCCAGAAGGGTGCTTTACACTACAGTTTTTAAACTGCAACATTAACCCTTAAACGGTCCAAACAGATTGACGTTCAAATTCGTAGTGCTACAAAAGTAGATCTACGTTTTTTTACATATTTTCAAATATAACAAAAAAAAAATAATGTAGAAAAAAGTTTTTTTTACAAGTTTTCAAATGTAAAACAAAAAAGAAGATCTACAGTTTTTTACATACTTTCAGAAGTTGAAAAAACGTATATGAACGTTTGGACCGTTTAAGGTTTAACACCCCTCCTTAAGAGTGCAGGCACTGTACTTCCCATCTCCAGGACTCAAGGCCTGCCTGCCGGTTTCCCTGAATCCCTTCATAAATGTTACTTTGCTCACACTCCAACAGCACGTCAAGTATTAACCCTTTGACTGTTTAAGTCGTATATATACGTCTTACACGCCACTGTTTGACGTATTTATATGCGTAAATTCTAGCGGCTTCAAATCAAGCAAGAGAAAGCTGGTAGGCCCACATGTAAGAGAATGGGTCTGTGTGGTCAGTGTGCACCACATAAAAAAAATCCTGCAGCACGCAGTGCTTAATGAGAAAAAAAAAATCCGACCTTTTTTTGGATTAAAATGCCGACTTTGAGGTGTATTTTCATATAGTATTTATTGTTGTATTCTCGTTTTCATGGTCTCGGGTGATAAAATGGAAAACATATTACAGAAACAGAGATGATTTTCATTACTTTCACGATGAAAACGACCTCGAAATTGAGCTCAAAGTAGCAGAAATGTTCGATTTTTACCAATGTTCAGGAGTAAGCAAATTGCACCACATGTCCAATACACGTCAACCGGGGAGTCTAATATTCTTTTACTAGTGCACTGATATTATTTATACTATTTTTACAATAATGCATTAGTCTGCATAACAGTAAATTTTGTATTTTTTTATATGAATAAAAAACCAAAATAGAAAGCCATAGTAATATAAGAGGGGCCTAGAGACATGACTAATGAACAGAGGATGTTATTTTAGTGCCAAGAATGTCTACATTGTTTATTCTGGACCCTATTTTGAAATTGGCATCTTTTTTAATTGGCCAAATTGCCAATTTCTGACCACTTTATTGGATAGTTCAAATCGGTAAATGGGCAGTTTCTTGTACTCAACTGATAGAAAAAATGGAGTTCTAAAGAAATAGCTATGAGTTTTGTCAACTGGAACAACGGAATTGGCCAAAAACAGGGCTCAAAGTCGGTGAAATTGCCAATGCGTATACGTCGCCGAGACCGCTAACTTCGCAGGAGCGTAATTCCGTGAGTTTTCGACCAAATTTCGTACTTTTGGTGTCATTACCATCGGAAAAAGATTCTCTATCATTTCATAAAAATAATTTTTTTTTCCAAAACTTTTGCGACATAGAATGACAGTTTCAGAAAGGGGCTGCGACAGTCAAAGGGTTAAAAACCATTTGTCTCCATTCACTCCTATCAAACACGCTCACGCATGCCCGCTGGAAGTCCAAGCCCCTCGCAAACAAAACCTCCTTTACCCCCTCCCTCCACGTTTTCCTAGGCCGACCCCTACCCCACCTTCCTTCCACTACAGACTGATACACTCTTGAAGCCATTGTTTCGCTCCATTCTCTCTACATGTCCGAACCACCTCAACATCCCTTCTTCAGCCCTCTGGACAACAGTTTTGGCAATCCCGCACCTCCTAACTTCCAAACTACGAATTCTCTGCATTATATTCACGCCACACATTGCCCTCAGACATGACATCTCCACTGCTTCCAGCCTTCTCCTCACTGCAACATTCATCACCCATGCTTCACAACCACATAAGAGCGTTGGTAAAACTATACTCTCATACATTCCCCTTTTTGCCTCCAAGGACAAAGTTCTTTGTCTCCACAGACTCCTAAGTGCACCGCTCACCCTTTTCCCCTCATCAATTCTATGATTCACCTCATCTTTCATAGACCCATCCGCTGACACGTCCACTCCCAAATATCTGAATAAATTTACCTCCTCCATACTCTCTCCCTCCAACCTGATGTCCAATCTTTCATCACCTGATCTTTTTGTTATCCTCATAACCTTACTCTTTCCTATATTCACTTTTAATTTTCTTCTTTTACATACCCTACCAAATTCATCCACCAACCTCTGCAACTTCTCTTCAGAATCTCCCAAGAGCACAGTATTAATAATAGAATAAAATATTGAATACAGTGGTACCTCGGGATACGAAATTAATTCGTTCCAGAAGGCTGTTCGAGTGCCGATACCGAACGAATTTGTTCCCATAAGGAATAATGTAAAGTATATTTATCCGTGACCCCCAAAAATACACTTACAAAAGAACTTACATAAATACATTTACATAATTGTTCGAGTTTTGAGCTATTCATATCCCGAGGTACCACTGTACTGTATTTGTATTCTACTACTCTTCACCTGTCTAGGCTTAAATAGTCTATAACTATTAGGTCAAGTCTGCCCAAAATGCCTCAGCATAATAGTGGGTTACTTAGTACCAATTAAATTATGAAGTGTAAGCACACATTGTAATCTTAGCAAAGAAATTAAATTTTACTTTATTTTATTTTTATTAAACAGTTACACAAATAAACCTTTAAAAAACTGAATGTGAGGTGAATACATGTAAATAAATCAAACACATTTCAAGTGATTGTTCTCTCATACCTGCTGGAGTTGTGGTTGCGAATTGTTGCAGCATTACCAAATGCTTCAAGGATGGGATTCGAAGCCAAGATCTTATTCTGGATATCTGTAGGTTCCATGTCTTCCCATACACCTTTAAGTGGCGATCGCGGAACTTGCAAAAATTTTGTTTCAACATGCGTCAAGTATCCCAACATGTAACGTGCAGATTCAGTCTAGAAAGCAATTGTAATACTGTACTTGATCTTCCATTTAACAGTCACCCTTGTTTCTAATTATTATATGATGTCCCACATTGAAACTACTTCTGGTTGAAGTTTGTGACCTTTGCTAACTCGGAAAGTTAGCCAAGATCACAAGAAATGGGTATGAGTTCGAAGGTCAAACTCAGTCAAAGCTCCTATGCTTAGAACATATAAAGGCAAAAGGATGAGAAAGGACTCCAACAGGTCACCTAAGGAATCATAATATGACTTGCACAAAAGAAAATGATAGAAATTAAATTCCCTTCAGAGCAGGAGTGATCTGGGTGAAGATGAAATGAGACTTTGTAGACTGTCTAAAGACAAAGCCTTGCAAGAAGATAGTTATTAATGGGCAGATTGTATATCATCCACCTAAATAAACTTTGGCTGTGGTATACTGCAGTGGAGTTAGTGCATAAAATCTAGGTAATGGAATGTCGGAATTCACAAGCTCACTTTCACTGTAAAAGGTATTAGGATATAGGGCAGAAGATTGTAAGAGAACATGGCTAATTTACCAGAATACTTTACTGCAGACAAATATAAGTAAAAACTATAAAATTAACAGCTGATGCTCTCCCTGATTACTCCTGGACTCTTTAAAATTCCACTGTATAATAGGAATTAACTCAGCAAAATATAAACGAGAGAAAACTTACTCATAAAGAGACCAGGGCAGATGGGAATGAAATGGGGAGCAAGTGAGGTCACACAACTCCTTTACCAGGAAATTAAGTAGTTTTAGGCTAATACAGGCTCCTTTTCTTTTCCATAGTTTACTTAATAAATTAGGCAAAACAGAATATTGTAATATGGGTAAAAAAAAAAAAAAAAAAAAAAAAAAAAAAAGCCAAGGAAAATTTAATTCATGTAAAATTTATGTATTACACCAAGAAAAATATACGTTTTTTTTTTTTTAACATGTTGGCCATTTTCCACTGAAGCAGGGTGACCCCAAAAAGAAAAAAAAAACAAAAACTTTCACCATCACTCATACATAATCACTGTCTTTGCAGAGGTGTTCAGATACGACAGTTTAGATGTCCCAAACCCCTCCTTTAAAGTGCAGGCACTGTACTTCCCATTTCCAGGACTCAAGTCCAACTACCCAGTTTCCCTGAATGTGCAAAATAAAAATAGCTTACCTTTCCAGCTCCACTTTCTCCAGAAACCAAAACAGCTTGATTGACAAGGCCAAGATCATGAGTGAGACGGTGATGAGCAACTCCAGCAATACTGTACACATGTGCATCACGCCTGTCTACCCCACTCTGAAATAATTGCAAAATGTGGTTTACCAGGGAATCTGAATGGTTCATGCAAAACTGAATGGCTCCTATGTTTCAGGATGGATTTTAAAGAGATTATATTTTTGTTAAATAGTCAATTTATTAAACTACTATACAGCACTTGATTTCAGGGCATTCAGTAATGAAGAAAATTGAATTAAAAATTTAAATGTAAGTCTTGAAAGGCATGGCACATGTAGACACTAAAACAGTAAAGGAAATTAAGATAGTATATTTTAACCCCAAAATAGAATTTACAGAAGATACAGACATATAAAGAACCTCATCTTCTGTCATTTCGTTAATGGTGTACAAGACCAGCAAGTTGTTGAATAAGATGTGTCCAGCACCCGGGTATCTCTATTATGAAAACGTTTTGCCAGCTAGTAACTTTCTCAATGTCATACATAGACTATAAACTGGAGACTGTGAAAGATGAGGTAATCAGTCTCTCAGTTTTGATAAAGGATGTTACTTCACTTAGCTTTGATCAATCTGAAGCAGAAGCAAGAGGATCAATATTTACACAGGTGTTCGTACTCCTCCACTGGTTACGTAACTTTTTTTTTTTTTTTTCAACAAGTCAGCTGTCTCCCACCAAGGCAGGATGACCCAAAAAGAAAGAAAATCCCCCAAAAGAAAATACTTTCATCATAATTCAACACTTTCACCTCACTCACACATAATCACTGTTTTTGCAGAGGTGCCCAGAATTCAACAGTTTAGAAGTATATACATATAAAAATACACAATATATCCCTCCAAACTGTCAATATCCCAAACCCCTCCTTTAAAGTGCAGGCATTGTACTTCCCATTTCCAGGACTCAAGTCCGGTTATATAAAATAACCGGTTTCCCTGAATCCATTCACTAAATATTACCCTGCTCACACTCCAACAGCTCGTCAGGTCCCAAATACCATTTGTCTCCATTCACTCCTATATAACACGCTCACTTATGCTTGCTGGAAGTCCAAACCCCTCGCCCACAACACCTCCTTTACCCCTTCCCTCCAACCTTTTCGAGGACGACCCCTACCCCGCTTTCCTTCTCCTACAGATTTATACGCTCTCCATGTCATTTTACTTTGATCCATTCTCTCTAAATGACCAAACCACCTTAACAAACCCTCTTCAGCCCTCTGACTAATACTTTTATTAACTCCACACCTTCTCTAATTTCCACACTCCGAATTTTCTGCATAATATTTACACCACACATTGACCTTAGACAGGACATCTCCACTGCCTCCAACTGCCTCCTCACTGCAGCATTTACAACCCAAGCTTCACACCCATATAAGAGTGTTGGTACTACTATACTTTCATACATTCCCTTCTCGGTGAAACATCTTCATAATAAAGATACCGAGGTGTTGCATGTGTTTTATTCATCAACTTGTCAGTATTGTGTACCATTAATGCAATACTTGTCTGACATGACAATACCATGAACTCTTGGAACAGAGGATATCTTTTACAATCCTACTGCTAATCTATAGCCCAACTCTTGGACATGACCTACTTCCACTAATGAGTCCCACCCCACCTGTGACAATGCCTTCAAATGCTGCAACTGTTTTTTGTATACAAGTGTCCATCCTCATGCTTTTGCTTCAGAATAACTAAGGCTAAGGGATTGAATACCTCACTAGGCTTGGTTGGCAAAATGTCTTCATAATATAAGATTAACAGGGGTTGCACATGCCTTCTTATTCATTAACTTTGTTTGAAGACCACAGAAAATAATCCATATAGAATACTAGCTACATTAAGTGGCAAGGTCATGTTTATCAAAGGGATATTGAATGAACTGTGATTAATTTATCATTTACATAAGGGGATGTGTAGATCAAGTGTTTACATTGAAGCATATATGTGAACAGTATTTAGATAAAGGTAGGGAAGTTTTTATTGCATTTAAGGATTTAGAAAAGGCATATGATAGAGTGGATAGAGGAGCAAGGTGGCAGATGTTGCAAGTATATGGAACAGGTGTTAAGTTACTAAATGCTGTAAAGAGTTTTTATGAGGATAGTGAGACTCAGGTTAGGGTGTGTAGAAGAGAGGGAGACTACTTCCCAGTAAAAGTAGGTCTTAGACAGGGATGTGTAATGTCACCATGGTTGTTTAATATATTTATAGATGAGGCTGTAAAAGAAGTAATTGCTAGGGTGTTCGGGAGAGGGGTGGGATTAAATTATGGGGAATCAAATTCAATATGGGAATTGATACAGTTACTTTTTGCTGATGATACTGTGCTTATGGGAGATTCTAAAGAAAAATGGCAAAGGTTAGTGGATGAGTTTGGGAATGTGTGTAAAGGTAGAAAGTTGAAAGTGAACATAGAAAAGAGTAAGGCGATGAGGGTATCAAATGATTTAGATAAAGAAAAATTGGATATCAAATTTGGGAGAAGTATGGAAGAAGTGAATGTTTTCAGATATACTTGGGAGTTGACGTGTCGGCGGTTGGATTTATGAAGGATGAGGTTAATCATAGAATTGATGAAGGAAAAAAGGTGAGTGGTGCGTTGAGGTATATGTGGAGTCAAAAAACGCTATCTATGGAGGCAAAGAAGGAAATGTATGAAAGTATAGTAGTACCAACACTCTTATATGGATGTGAAGCTTGGGTGGTAAATGCAGCAGCGAGGAGACGGTTGGAGGCAGTGGAGATGTCCTGTCTAAGGGAAATGTGTGGTGTAAATATTATGCAGAAAATTCGGAGTGTGGAAAATAGGGAAAGGTGTGGAGTTAATAAAAGTATTAGTCAGAGGGCAGAAGAGGGGTTGTTGAGGTGGTTTGGTCATTTAGAGAGAATGGATCAAAGTAGAATGACATGGAAAGCATATAAATCTATAGGGGAAGGAAGGCGGGGTAGGGGTCGTCCTCGAAAGGGTTGGAGAGAGGGGGTAAAGGAGGTTTTGTGGGCGAGGGGCTTGGACTTCCAGCAAGCGTGCGTGAGTGTGTTAGATAGGAGTGAATGGAAACAAATGGTACTTGGGACCTGACGATCTGTTGGAGTGTGAGCAGCGTAATATTTAGTGAAGGGTAATATTTAGTGTAGAGGGCAAGGAGGAATAACATCTTGTAGGAGTGAGGAAGAGCCAGTTGTGAGTGTGGGGGAAGTTCGTGAGGCAGTAGGTAAAATGAAAGGGGGTAAGGCAGCTGGGATTGATGGGATAAAGATAGAAATGTTAAAAGCAGGTGGGGATATAGTTTTGGAGTGGTTCGTGCAATTATTTAATATATGTATGGATGAGGGTAAGGTACCTAGGGACTGGCAGAGAGCATGCATAGTTCCTTTGTATAAAGGCAAAGGGGACAAAAGAGAGTGCAAAAATTATAGGGGGATAAGTCTGTTGAGTATACCTGGTAAAGTGTATGATAGAGTTATTATTGAAAGAATTAAGAGTAAAATGGAGAATAAGATAGCAGATGAACAAGGAGGCTTTAGGAAAGGTAGGGGGTGTGTGGACCAGGTGTTTACAGTGAAAAATATAAGTGAACAGTATTTAGATAAGGCTAAAGAGGTCTTTGTGGCATTTATGGATTTGGAAAAAGCATATGACAGGGTGGATAGGGAGGCAATGTGGCAGATGTTGCAGGTGTATGGTATAGGAGGTAGGTTACTGAAAGCAGTGAAGAGTTTTTACGAGGATAGTGAGGCTCAAGTTAGAGTATGTAGGAAAGAGGGAAATTATTTCCCAGTAAAAGTAGGCCTTAGACAAGGATGTGTGATGTCACCGTGGTTGTTTAATACAGTGGACCCCCGGTTAACGAACTTTTTTCATTCCAGTAGTATGTTCAGGTGCCAGTACTGACCAAATTTTTTCCCATAAGGAATATTGTGAAGTAGATTAGTCCATTTCAGACCCCCAAACATACACGTACAAACGCACTTACATAAATACACTTACATAATTGGTCACATTTGGAGGTAATCGTTATGCGGGGGTCCACTGTATATTTATAGATGGGGTTGTAAGAGAAGTAAATGCGAGGGTCTTGGCAAGAGGCGACCCCTCAAGGAAGGTTCCTTGATGTTGGTGAGGGGCTCTTGATTTAGGGAATTGGATCTGTGCTCCAGTTCCCCGAATTAAGCCTGAATGCCTTCCACATCCCCCCCCCCCAGGCGCTGTATAATCCTCTGGGTTTAGCGCTTCCCCCTTGATTATAATAATAATAATTGGCAAGAGGCGTGGAGTTAAAAGATTAAGAATCACACACAAAGTGGGAGTTGTCACAGTTGCTCTTTGCTGATGACACTGTGCTCTTGGGAGATTCTGAAGAGAAGTTGCAGAGATTGGTGGATGAATTTGGTAGGGTATGCAAAAGAAGAAAATTAAAAGTGAATATAGGAAAGAGTAAGGTTATGAGGATAACAAAAAGATTAGGTGATGAAAGATTGGATATCAGATTGGAGGGAAAGAGTATGGAGGAGGTGAATGTATTCAGATATTTGGGAGTGGATGTGTCAGTGGATGGGTCTATGAAAGATGAGGTGAATCATAGAATTGATGAGGGGAAAAGGGTGAGTGGTGCACTTAGGAGTCTGTGGAGACAAAGAACTTTGTCCTTGGAGGCAAAGAGGGGAATGTACAAGAGTATAGTTTTACCAACGCTCTTACATGGGTGTGAAGCATGGGTGATGAATGTTGCAGCGAGGAGAAGGCTGGAGGCAGTGGAGATGTCATGTCTGAGGGCAATGTGTGGTGTGAATATAATGCAGAGAATTTGTAGTTTGGAAGTTAGGAGGAGGTGCGGGATTACCAAAACTGTTGTCCAGAGGGCTGAGGAAGGGTTGGTGAGGTGGTTCGGACATGTAGAGAGAATGGAGCGAAACAGAATGACTTCAAGAGTGTATCAGTCTGTAGTGGAAGGAAGGCGGGGTAGGGGTCGGCCTAGGAAAGGTTGGAGGGAGGGGGTAAAGGAGGTTTTGTGTGCGAGGGGCTTGGACTTCCAGCAGGCATGCGTGAGCGTGTTTGATAGGAGTGAATGGAGACAAATGGGTTTTAATACTTGATGTGCTGTTGGAGTGTGAGCAAAGTAACATTTATGAAGGGGTTCAGGGAAACCGGCAGACCAGACTTGAGTCCTGGAGATGGGAAGTACAGTGCCTGCACTCTGAAGGAGGGGTGTTAATGTTGCAGTTTAAAAACTAGTGTAAAGCACCCTTCTGGCAAGACAGTGATGGAGTGAATGATTGTGAAAGTTTTTCTTTTTCAGGCCACCCTGCCTTGGTGGGAATCGGCCAGTGTGATAATAAAAAAATAATAAATTCAGGGAAACCGATTATTTTCATATAGTCGGTCGGACTTGAGTCCTGGAAATGGGAAGTACAATGCCTGCACTTTAAAGGAGGGGTTTGGGATATTGGCAGTTTGGAGGGATATGTTGTGTATCTTTATACGTATATGCTTCTAAGCTGTTGTATTCTGAGCACCTCTGCAAAAACAGTGATAATGTGTGAGTGTGGTGAAAGTGTTGAATGATGATGAAAGTATTTTCTTTTTGGGGATTTTCTTTCTTTTTTTGGGGTCACCCTGCCTCGGTGGGCAACGGCTGACTTGTTGAAAAAAAAAAAAAAAAAAAAAAAAAAAAAGAAGACTTAAAAGGTCTATTTATGATCCTGATTTTCCCCTGACGAAACATAAAATTGAAATGAATGAAATAAACAGTTTGTAAAGGATGCCATCTAAATACCATAGTTAATACTAAAATATGTGTTAAACCGTTACTAAATACATACTATAATTATTTAAAGAAAAATACAGGTGCATATCATCCAATCGCATGACTAGGAAGGGATGAGTAGCTCTAATTCCTTGGATTAAGAGACCTTCACCAGCACCAAGGGTATAAGGGTAGAAATTTCATATTACAAAGATAGCATGACATAGTGGACTGTGCTGCTCTATAAGTCAAGGTGAGGACCACTGAGTCTGGCTATCAACTAACGTGTAATAGTATGGAAACCCCACTCTTGCCTAGGGCAACCTTGATGAAGGTATGCAGCACCATACCAATCTTCACATAATATCAACCTAAGCAGTATAAAGTATCTCACCTTAACCTGATTATGATGATGTTTTATCTGCGAAGATGTATAAAGGTAGTCAACTAGACGGCATGGGTTAGCTGCTACCAGTGTTGGACCAGCCCAGGTGTAGAAAAGTTTCTCACAATATCTTAAGCACACACACTCTAGAACTAGAAACCAAATAACATGCTAACCATTAAATTGTACAAGAAAAATAAAATACTTATAATTTTTTACTTAACTGGACTAACAACATTGTAGGTTGTATCACAGGTCACTAGTCATCCCTCAGTGATGTTTCATTAACCTTACCAAAAATTATCATTGTAATATGCACAGTTATTAAGCATCTCCTTTAACTAATGGCTAAGCTAATTGTGCTGTATATATGAATGAATATGTGTGTAGCATAATATAAGCATATACAAGTAACTGTAATTGCTCATTTGCTGAAATGAGATCAATTAATATTATTAGTATTACATTTGGATGGGGTGAGCACTAAACCCACAAGGGTCATAAAGTACTTGGGGAAATGGGAGGCATTTAGATTCAAAATCCAGAAAATAAGCACAGGTCTAATTAACTAGATCAAGAGCCCCTTGCATCAAGGAACCTCCTTTGAGGGAGAAATTTGATCTAACATCAAGGAAAGATGGAATGAAGAATATTTCTTTCTTTATATTTTTTATTATTATTTTAATTAGGGGGAAGTGTTAAACCCACAGGGTTCAAAAGCACCTGGGAAATGAGAGGCAATCAGGTTCAATCCAAGGAAGGGGAAGGTAAGTTCATTTCCTTGGACCAAGATCCCTTATTAGTAGCAAGCACCTCCTTCAAGGGTAAAATGAAGTTTGAACTTTCAAAATAGTCAAGGAAACCACACAATTTTAAATGGCAAATTTAAGTCAGTAATTCTGGAGATTTCAATAACCCAAATATCAATAGGAACAAAAAGCTAATAAGCTGATTAATATTACCAATAGAAACTTCCTATATCACCTAGTTACAAATTCTTTCTTTCTTTCTTTCAACACACTATTATTATAATAAAAACAGAAGTGCTAAATCTACAAGGGTCATCAGCTAGTTACAGATCCATCATTAGGTGAAAATATTTTTGATCATGTCCTGAACACTAAGGTGCTTTGATGTTTCAGTTGACCTTGGACTATTAACTGGTCCAAGTCAGAGCGAAACATCATCATTAGTTTCTGTTTCCTATGTGCGGGTTATCTGTGTAGTGCTCCAGTAATGGCATCATGCCTTTATATTTGTTATGGTCATTTGAATATTAATGACTGCACCTCAGACAATACAGATATCGAGTGACAGTGAGAGTTAACTTTATTGGGTTACCCTACTAGGTGGAACATGGACAATGTGTTACAAATCAATAACAATTTTGCTGTGAACTTACCTATATCATCATACAAAATTGGTAATCTTGTTAAGTCATCACACAAAATTAACTCGTCGACTGGAATATCAAGGAAGGAGTCGGAGAGTAATGATTCTTGAGAGCCTGTGTTACATCTAAGTTCTGAAACAGTAACAACATCTTTCCTGGGTTTCTTTTTTGGCACTGGCGGAGGAATTTTACTTGAACGTCTGCCCAAAGACAAGCTGCTCTCATCATAATCCTATTTAAATAAAAGAAAAATTAAAACTCAGTGGATTTTATTAAAGAGTACAACCTGTAACCATAATTCATGCAAAAAAAAAAAAAAAAAAAAAAAAATACTGAACATGCAAAATGCTCTTTATCAGAAACCCTTATGTTCAAAAATGATATACAGGATCTACAATCACTGCCTGGAAACAATTACGTAATAGTACACTATATGTACAGTACATACAAAGAGTGTCTAAATGAGTCTAGAAGCAAATGAACAAGTACCAGTCATAAATAAATGACATTCAAAATGAGGATGACCCAAAGGGAATAAGATTTCATTTTATTCTCCATGTCCCATGGTCTATAAACTTTTTAGTACACTGTACCACTTTTTTCAAAGAAGATTTTACTCAAAGAAAATTCATTCCTTAAAAAAAATAAATAAGCAAATATATTTCCTGAGCAACACACTAACCTGTTAAATGGTAAATTAAAGTCAATGGAAAGCAGTAAACCCCCTAGGAATTGAAGCACAGGTCCAATTAATTAGATTAAAAGCCCCTTACCAGCATCAAGGAGGGAACTAAACCCATAGGGATCATACAGCACCTGAGGGAATGGGCGGCTTTCAGGTTCAATCCAAGGAAGGGGAGGGCAGGTCCAATTCCTTGGATCAAGAGCCCCTCACTGGCATCAAGGGCCCTCCCCTGAGGCAACAATCACCACAACTGTGGATTTTTTTATTACTCTGAGTGAAACACCATGGCTCCAATGAACAAACTGAGAATTTTTTAGCTATACAGTAGAACCCCCATATCCACTGATTCAGTAGCAGCAGTTTCAGTTATCCACCGTTTACTGTAGCCCAAAAATAAGTCTTAATTTTGCATAATTATGGCCCCCAAGCATGAAAGTATGGAAGCTGGCAGTTCTTCAATGCCTAAGAGAAGCCATGAAGTGCTTTTCCACTTACTATGCATAATTTATCAACTAAACTTTATAATAGGTGTATGTATATAGGACTTATATACAGGGTTTGCTACTATCTGTAGTTTCAGTATCCACAGCAGGTCCTTGGAACTTATCTCCCACAGATATGGGGGTCCTACTGTACTTTAGTGTAAATACATAAGTTTATTTAGGTACAGGTACACATAAGTACAGTTAAACAAATTTTGGAGATTACAATTACCATACATAGTAACATACATATGAGCAAATTACCTAGGATAATCCAAAAAAGACAAAGAAAGTAACTTACAGTCTATCAACTGCACAAAACAAGAATACTTTAATCTCTAAAATAAGGTTTAAAGTAAATTCTCAGCATATATACACTTAAGAGAAATAATGGATATAGCCCTACTCCACAAAGGTGGGAGTAAAGCAACTGCAAAGAATTACAGACCGACAGCACTAATGTCCCGCCATCATAATAATCTATGATAGGGTTCTAAGAAGCAAGATTGCCAACCACTTGGATACCCAACAATTACACAACCCAGGGTAGCACAGATTTAGAGCAGTTCACTCCTGCCTCTCGCAACTACTGGACCACTATGACATGGTCTTGAATGCACTGGAAGACAAACAGAATGGAGATGTAGTATACAGAGATTTTGCAAAAGCCTTTAACAAGTACAATCATGGTGTAATAGCATACAAAATGCATAACAAAGGAATAGCACGAAAAGCAGGTAGTTAGATCTATAACTTCCTAACAAACAGTAGAAAGAGTAATAGTAAACAGAATCAAGTAAGTGGCAGCTACAGTAAACAGCTCTGTTCCACAAGGTACAGTACTCGCTCCCATCCTTTTCCTCATCCCCATATCTGACATAGGCAGATGTAAACCATAGCATCATGTCCTCATTTGCTGACAAAACCAGAATTTGAATGACAGTGTCATCCACCGAGAACATTCCAAATGGAAATCAGAAAACAATAAGTTCAATGAAGAAAAATTTCAATTACTCCGCTATGGAATACTCAAGGAAATAAAAACTGGATCGGAGTATAAAACAAATTCTAACCACATAGCAGAGCGAAAAACTAATGTGAAGGACCTGAGAGTGATAATGTCAGAGTATCTCACTTTCCAACATCACAACAATGTCTCTACCACAACTGCTAGGAAAATGATAGGATGTATTATGAGAACCTTCAAAACTAGGGATGCCAAATCAATGATGATTCCTTTCAAGTCACATGTTTTCTCTAGGTTGGAATATTGCTGTACTCTAATGGCCCCTTTCAAGACAGGCAAAACTGAAGACCTGGAGAATATACAGAGAACTTTCACTGCATGAATAAGTAAAATAAAGTACCATTACCAGGAATGGTTGAAGCCTCTTGACTTGTACTTCTATGAATGCAGGCGAGAAAGATAAAAGATAACATTCGCTCGGAAAATCCTAGAGACTAGTTCCAAATCTGCACATGGAAATCACTCCCTACAAAAACAAAAGACTCGGCAAGCAGTGCAACACCTCCCCAATGAAAAGAAGGGATGTAATGAGTACACTAAGAGACAGCACAATACATGTCAGGGGCCCAAGACTGTTTAACTGCCTCCCAGCACAGATAAGGGGGATTTCCAACAGACCCCTGGCTGTCTTCAAGAGAGAGCTGGACAGGCACCTAAAGTCAGTTCCTGACCAGCTGGGTTGTGGTTCATTTATTAGTTTACATGCGGCCAGCAGTAACAGCCTGGTTGACCCCAGTAAAACCCTCCAGGTATACCTTTGTTTGGAAATAACTGCAGGGGGAGCTGAATGATAGTTCTAGGCCTTTTGTATCACAATCAACGCATCATTAGGAGTTTGCAATGTTGCAGAAATGAGTAGGAAATCCAGGTAAATTGGTTCAAGGGAGTTGTTCCCCTGAACAACTCTACCTGTCCTTCACACACATTTATTTCTTTATTTCTACAAGTACATGTACAAGGTATCCAGACCATAGCTGACATCAATGACATACTACTATATAGAAAGCTAATAAGTAAGTTTATTCAGGTATACACAAATACAGTTACATAGAATTATCATACATAGCAGCATATGTGTAGAGAACCTAGGATAACCCAAAAAAGTCAGACAGAGTGACTTATTTCCATTGGGGTCCTTTTACCTTATTATTATACAGACCGGGCCGCGGGGGCGTTGACCCCCGGAACTCTCTCCAGGTCTCCAGGTACATCTTATTATCATACTAAAAAGACTATCTACTACACGAGGGTCATTAAGACTATCTACAATACGAGGGTCATTACTAGGAATAAGGTAAAATTTACACGTATGTTAGCTAAAAAGTAGAAAATCATTCCCCTCCTTTTCTGTAGCTACATTCATCAGACACCTTTTGGCACTCTTCTTGAATTGGTTCATGCTATGACTGGCTTTGACATGTGTAGGCAGTCTGTTCCATTCCTTTATTGCTGTACAATAAAAGGTGTTTGACGCCAGGCCAATGACTGTGGCTACTACAAAGTTGTGTTCTCTCCCCCTAGTACTATGATTGCTTTGGTTCCCAACCTTGACAAAATTGACAGCAAGATATTCTGGACACTGTTTGTGAGCAATTTTATAAACATGATTTAGCTTCAGTTGTTTTACTCTGTCTTCAACATTCAGCATATCCAACTGCTGTAATTCATCCTGGCCTACATGTTCTCTTGGTCCCAGCCCCAGGATGAATCTTACCATTTTGTTCTGGGTGATTTGCAGTCTATCTTTCAGTTTTTTTGTCAAGGCAGAGTACCATGAAGAGCAAGCGTAATCCATATGGCATTGTATAAGGGCTAGACATAGGGTCCTGCGAGCATCAGTAGGTAGACACTGTGCTTGTCTATACAGGAACTTCAGTCTAGCATTCGCTTTCTTTACTACATTGTTCCCTATCAATTCTCCTGACATGCATGGGTCTTGGGGATTCCCAGATATGCTGAGCATTTCAGGCAAATTAGGTCAGTTTTGTCCCAGGATGCGACCCACACCAGTCGATTAACTCCCAGGTACCTATTTTACTGATGGGGAACATAGGCAACCAGTGTAAAGAAACACGCTCAATGTTTCTACCCTTGCTGGGAATCAAACCCAGACATCTCGCCATGTGAAGCAAGAGCTTTAGCCACCAGGCCAACAGTGCAAGCGCCTGATACGATGATTGCAACACGAAAGGCCTAGAGCTATCATTCAACTCATCCTATCGTCATTTTGCATCTTTCATCGCTTATTCACGATTATTGCAACACCTGTGTATATATCCTAAGGTTAAGCAGTGTAATTTCCTGGGCTCCATAAGTCACTAAATTAAGTATATATTTTTATTATAATTATATTCAAGTAAAATGTGTAATCCGTAGTGCAAAAGTATTTCTAAATTAAATAATTACAATGATATACATGGGGAAGTTAAGCCCCTATGAGTCTTAGTACATGGGGAATGGGGGGCAATCGGGCTTAATCCAGGAAAGAGGAGGATAGCCCCTCTCCCTTGGATCAAGAACCTTTCACCGGCATATCCCCGAGTACGGCATATATTAATAAATTTAAGATTAATAATGAATTCCTCCCAAAACTTTCCACTTGCCGTGAAGACAAACATATATATCAAAGTGACAGCCTGAAAATCCAGTTTTGCCCACTATGCGGGCCCCTCATACGCATTATTACCATGTTGCACACGTGTCCACTGCCCCATCAACTCAAAATTTAACAAAAATCACAAAATTCTCTCATTTTGAGGCCGTCACAACGAGAGTCAACTACAACCTCAGCCAGCACTCTCCCCGGCTATATTATATTATAGCTAAAAAATACCGTAGAACAATATATCAAGAGCTTATTATAAATGAATACACGAGGTATCATGCAGAGAGGGAATTTCCCCATTAAAAATTAATGACTTGGGTTTAATTGCGAGAACTTTAGATTCTCTTTTCACCCAATCAGCTGATTTGCATTCTAATCCGTAGCCCATGCGAGTTTAGCGCTTTTGTGTGTGATAAATAATAAGATAATAGATCTGTTTTTTATGTTGTTATCTACTGATAGATAAATTGTCATTGTTTTAGAATAATTTTATGAAAATTTAAACCCTCTCCAATGACCCCATTAGAGAAAGATATCCCTGTATCCCTTTGCTTCCTCCTCCTCTACCTTAATGATGTGAGAAAGGTATCCCTGTTTACCTTTACTTCATCCTCCTCTACCTTAATGAAGTGAGAAAGGTATCCCTGTTTACCTTTACTTCATCCTCCTCTACCTCAATGATGTGAGAAAGGTATCCCTGTTTACCTTTACTTCATCCTCCTCTACCTCAATGATGTGAGAAAGGTATCCCTGTTTACCTTTACTTCATCCTCCTCTACCTCAATGAAGTGAGAAAGGTATCCCTTTCTCACGTTGTGAAACGTTGGACATGTTTCCTTACACCTGCTGTCCCTGTTCACCTAGCATTAAGTAGGAACCCTGGGTGTTAGTCACACCTACTGTCCCTGTTCACCTAGCAGTAGGTAGGTACCTGGGTGTTAGTCACACCTACTGTCCCTGTTCACCTAGCAGTAGGTAGGTACCTGGGTGTTAGTCACACCTACTGTCCCTGTTCACCTAGCAGTAGGTAGGTACCTGGGTGTTAGTCATCCTAAACTTTTTTATGGATTATTTAAGTTAATTTACACAATGTACGATAAACTTAGTAGAGGCAGGATCCATACACAGCTTTAAGAAGAGATACGATAAGGCTCTTGGAGCAGGGAGAGTATGGACCTAATAGCGACCAGCAGAGGCGGGACCAGGAGCTGTGAATCAACCCCCTGGAACCATAAATAAGAGAGTACAAAGGGTTCAATACGACACTAGTTGTGGCGGCCCTATAATCCCCTAACAAACAAGGGAAGGAATATTACCGGTGATGTTTGATATAATCAGGTAAATATTTATGTAGTGTGATGATTTTTGTAATATTTATGAGAAGGAAGGTGTCTGGGGTCTCGCTGGTCATGGTGATGAATTCACCATGTGAAATAAAGGCAGGTATGCAATATTTAGGACATTTTTTTTAAGAATGTGTCATCTTCGGAGTGAGTGTTCTGGCCATCATAGTTTGTAAGTAAGTATAATCCTCTGGGTTTAGCGCTTCCCCCTTGATTATAATAATAATACCCACTAAATGTACCTAATAAATGTCTCACTGTCTCCAGCTTCATCACCTTCAAGGCTGAGACACATTGATTACCTCGTCTACTGTCTCCAATTTATAAGCTCTGTATTGAACTGAAATAGCCACTCACTGGATGGCAAATTGACTTCATCATAAAGATATGAATTGTTATGTTAAGTAGTGTTATTATATAAAGAGAATGTTGTGAATATTACCAGTATGGGTTTACAAAAAAATCCTTGTCGAACTATATTTTTTCACAAATTTGTGCCTACTCCAGGTAACGTTTAGTAAATTGTAGTGTTTAGTAAATAAATTTTATACTGTATTTATTTTCACAGGTAACTTGTAGTAAATTGGTAACTCATTCCGGTGTTGCGGGTCTCATCCTGGGTGAAGAAATATAAAGGATTCTAATGGAAACAAGCCATATTGCTTGATTTTTTGGGGTTATCTGGAGTTATTAACCCTTAGGGTTACAAGTCTGGATGAGAGTTTCTTCTCGGGTGAATGGCACTTCCACAGTAGCTGCGTAAGTAGCAATGGATCATATCACAGGATGGAGGAAATAATGTATATTGCCCAGTTGGCCTAACTGAAGCCCTTCCTTAATTAATTACCATGTATGCACATGAAAGAACAACCAAAATGTTAGATTTGTCTTCAGTTGCTACTTTTTTAAATTTAGCACTATTATGCCTCTATGTGTGTGTGGAGGTAAAGGAGGTTTTATGTACGAGGGGCTTGGACTTCCAGCAAGCATGCATGAGCATGTTAGATAGGAGCGAATGGTGTTATGGGTCATGCCTGACATTTTTTTATCACCTCTGGCCCTCTGGAATGGGTGTTGAGTGGAGATGAGGCAAAACTGTAAGGGTTACTCTTGGAGAGTACAGTCACGGGTAACACGCTACAGTCACGAGTGACACCCCAGAGAATTCTTCAAAAGAATTTGCCTAAGGAAATAGTAAAGGTGTGGTCAAACTACTGTCACTTGAAGAGACATTAACAGTGCTCTTGATAGGATGTTTATGCTGGGGGAGTCACTGTTTAAGTCTGGCTTGTCAGAGGCATTCATGGCAAGCAACATGTGCTTTCATGTGTGAGCCAGCGATTGTCTTCCTGTCTCTGTTACTGTCTGAGTCGTTGCTCCAGCAACTTGTGTTGTGGCTCAGCTGAGAGGAGGCATAGTGGAGCAGCTCGTCTGAACCCCAAGGCATACACTAATGACACTAGCCTCTGTCTACTAAGCTAGTCCCTGAGCAGGAGTCAGCATACACTTCTGACACACCAGCTAATAAGTTAGTCCCTGAGCAGGAGTCTGCATACACTTCCTCCAGACTGGTAAACTGGTGAGCCTCTCTGAGCAGAACCTGATTAACTGTTCTGCCAAGTACATGTGGTAATAATGGTTGAAATGGTGGACCTTATGGACTATGCCTTCCAGTACATTAAGGACAGTGGTGGAATTGACACTGAAGATGCATACTCATGTGGAGCAGAGGATAAAAAATGTCGAGCATAACCCATAACAAATGGAGACAAATGGTTTTTAGGACTTGACATGCTGTTGGAGTGTGAGGAAGGTAACATTTATGAAGGGATTTAGGGAAACCAGCAGGCCGGATTTGAGTCCTGGAGATGGGAAGTACAGTGCCTGCACTCTGAAAGAGGGGTGGAGGGGTGTTAATGTTGCAGTTTTATAACTGCAGTGTAAGCACGCCTCTGGCGAGACAGTGATGGAGTAAATGATGGCGAAAGTTTTTCTTTTTTTGGGCCACCCTACCTTGGTGAGAAACGGCCGATGTGTTAATAAAAAGAAATATGTGTGAGGAATTCCTAAATGTAAAATGAAGAAAAGCTTTATGTTTCTTCTTTTCCAGGTCACCCTGCCTCAGAGGGAGACAGCCATTGTGTTAAAATACAAAATTACTCACTGAAAAATTACCCAATATTCCACTCCACATACACTGGCCTAGGAGAGTAGTTATGGGAATGATCCTATTTTAATTTTTTTTTTTTCGGTTTAATAAGTTAGAATGGTTTAGGATATTTTTACATTGTAGCTCAAGACCCCTCTGAGGGCAGACATTTTTTCATGATGCAGGGGTAATTATGGTCTTTATCTTTGCCTTGTGATACTCTGGCAGGGATTTCCCATGCCAGGATGGCTAAAGCTGCAGAAGTACACTAAGCACTGCCAATGTATTTCCCTTGCTTCTTAGACCTATATACGTACTGTGCAAAAGTGTTTGTTTCATTTGTCTGGAAATTTTTCCTGCAATGTTTATATTTTTATTTTTAGAATGGGTGTTGATTTTGATATAAACATTTTGCAATGCTGACAAACTTAGCCATTCTTGCAGATATTTCATGCAAAAAGATACATTGTAAAGTACAAGTGTAGTACAGTAGTTTGTATTTTATATTTACAGCAGTATGTTGAATGATCTATACTGGCATTAATTTGTTATCATATTTATTATTTCAGGGAAGCAGCATAAAGTTGAAGGGTATATTTGATGAAGACTACTAAGAATGAAGGGACTTACAGTTGAACAAATCAGCGCTGATCGTGTGACATTCCTTGCACAGCAGTACTGGTCTCCAGATACCAAGGAGTCTCATCTTCCATTTGACCCCCAAGTGATTGATGATGTTTATGAAAGTGAAGTCAGAGCAACTGATTTTGCTACCCGGCGCATCGTTGTGTTAGAATTGAGCCAGTATCTTGAAAACTACATCTGGCCAAACTATTCCGAGAATGCTACAGCATCACACCTCATGTCAGTCATCATATTGGTTAATGAAAAATTTCGTGAGCGTGTTCCTGCTTGGGATTCTTTTGTGAAACACCCAGGACCCTTTGCTAGCTTTCTGCGACATCTTATGAAAGCTTGCCTAGATACAACTAACAAATTTTCACAAAAAGAGCAAACCCACATGATAGTGTTTCTTAATCATCTCTATAACAGCATTGAAACAGATCTCATACGCAATGGCATTAGTCATACTGTATCTTATAACATCTTAGAATGCCTTTCTGAAGGCCAGCTACAAGCTGTACTTAAAGATTTTCCTAATTGGTCCAAAGCATTAAAGAGAACTGCACGGCACAGAAAGAAACTGAATGGTGTAGAGCTGGAAAATTTTGATTTTGATACCAAATTTTTGTATTCCCTCATGCAACAGTTCCTTACAAAGTTGTCAGCTATTCCTGCAGGAGAAGAAGAACTAAATGAGGATGTTGTTCATTACTGTGAGAGGTTCCTTGAACTTATGATTGACCTTGAATCTCAGTTACCCACACGTAGATTTTTTAACACACTTCTTCATTCTTGCAACTTGCTTGTTAAGTGTGAATTATCGACACTTTCATCCAGGGAAGAGGGGAAGCTGTTTTCTCAGTTGCTGCACATATTAAAAGTTTTTGGTCAGTTTGAGATCAATGATAACACAGGCCAGCCCCTCTCTGATTTGGATGTTATGAAAAGTCATTACAAAAAGGTAAAGCAAATGCAGAGCATTACTTTTAGAAACTTTTCTCAGTTAACACAGTTCAGTTTCTCAAGTGTAGCTGCAGTTGATGATACAGAAACATTGAGACAATATGTAGACCAGTTGGAGGATGACGATTTGCAGAAGCTATGCAAATTACTTCATCTGCTTCCTAAGGAAGATGAAAATGAATCAAACAGAAAGTATCTGATAGAATCCATTATCTGGAAGTACCAGCGACGCATTTCGCAATTAGAAGCCATTAATCGCATGCCACTGTATCCTACAGAACAGATAATCTGGGATGATAACATCGTTCCATCGGAGTATTTTTCTGGGGATGCTTGTCTGGCATTACCCAAACTGAATCTGCAGTTTCTTACCCTGCATGATTATCTGTTGAGAAACTTTGACCTTTTTAGATTGGAATCGACATATGAAATACGTCAGGATATAGAAGACATCGTAATGAGATTGAACCCATGGTCAGCAGAAGATGGAAGTGTTGTCTTCAGAGGGTGGGCACGTATGGCACAGCCCATAGCAAATTTTGCAGTATGTGAGGTCGCTAAGCCCAATGTTGGGGAAGATAAGCCCTCAAGAGTTCGGGCAGACATTACAGTTAATCTAAGTGTAAGAAGAGAAATAAAAAATGAATGGGAAGCTTTGAGGAAACATGATGTATGTTTGCTTCTTTCACTTATGCATCCTAAAGAATACCCTAATCCTGAGGGATATTTTCCAGATGAATGGGGTATCAGGTACATCCGTGGATGTGAGGTGGAGGGCATGCTAGATGAAAATGGCCGGGTTATTGAAGAAGGTCCTGAGCCCAAGCCAGAGTTGAAAGGTGAGACCAGAACTTTCCGTGTTTGGCTTGATTGCAACCAGTATAAAATTGACATGGACAATATCAAATCCAATGATGGCAGTGAAGATGTTTATGAAACTTTCAATGTTTTAATGAGACGAAAACCTAAAGAAAACAACTTCAAAGCCGTCTTGGAAACTATCCGTGACCTAATGAATACTAAATGTGTTGTTCCTGATTGGTTATTAGATATCATTCTTGGATATGGTGATCCTGGAGCTGCCCATTATTCACACAGAGAAAATGCTTTGTCAACCCTTGATTTCAATGACACTTTTTTGGATTTTGAACATCTTAAGAAAAGCTTCCCAAGCTATACCATTAATCATAATCCTAAGGCTTGCATGCAACCGCCTTTTAAATTAACATTTGAAGACCAGAAATCAACTAAACGTCCAGCTGAGGAAGAAGAAAATAAAGAATCCAAAGTAATTCATATTGACCCATATGTTGTGCCAAGTCGAGGTCCTTATCCATACACTGTGCCACGTAAGAATCGAGTGCAGTTTACACCCACTCAAGTGGAAGCTATCCGCTCTGGCATGCAACCTGGCCTGACTATGGTTGTGGGACCTCCTGGCACTGGCAAGACTGATGTTGCTGTGCAGATAATTTCCAACATATATCACAATAACCCTGCTGAGCGTACTCTTGTTGTCACCCATTCAAATCAAGCTCTTAATCAGCTTTTTGAGAAAGTCATTGCTCTGGATGTTGATGAGCGGCATCTTTTGCGTTTAGGTCATGGTGAAGAGGCTTTGGAAACAGAGAAAGATTTCAGTAGATATGGTCGTGTTAACTATGTTCTGAGTAAACGCCTTGAATTACTAGACGAAGTAACACGCCTCAAGGAGTCGCTAGGTGTAGCTGGTGAAATGGGAGCTTCATGTGAAACAGCTGGTTATTTTTTTCTGCAGCATGTACTTGCTCGATGGGAGCGTTACATTAGCCAGGTTACTGCCACTCCTGGTAAGCTAGTTAATGTGCAACAAATAAATGACCTGTTTCCATTCCATGTTTTCTTCAGTAATGCACCACAGCCATTATTCAAAGAAAAAAGCTATGAAGAAGACATGGAAATTGCTGAGGGCTGCTTCCGATATCTGGAAAATATATTCACACAACTAAAAGAGTTTCGTGCATTTGAAATGCTTAGGAGTGGCCTTGATCGTACAAGGTATTTACTTGTGAAGGAGGCAAAGATTATTGCAATGACTTGTACACATGCTGCTCTTAAACGACGAGAACTTGTAGACTTAGGTTTTCAGTTTGATAACATTTTAATGGAAGAAAGTGCCCAGATTTTAGAAATTGAAACATTTATTCCATTACTTCTACAAAATCCTGAGGATGGACGGAACAGACTTAAGCGATGGGTCATGATTGGTGACCATCATCAGCTGCCACCTGTTATAAAGAATATGGCTTTCCAAAAGTATAGTAACTGTGAACAGAGCTTATTTACAAGATTTGTTCGATTAGGTGTTCCAACTGTTCAGCTAGATGCTCAGGGCCGTGCGCGTCCCTATATTTGTGCCTTGTATAATTGGAGGTATAAAAATTTGGGTGACTTGCCTCATGTAATATCGTGGCCTGAGTATCGCATAGCCAATGCAGGAATATTTTACGAGTACCAGCTCATTAATGTGGATGACCTTGAAGGACGTGGAGAGTCGGAACCACGGAAGTATTTCTACCAGAACTTGGCTGAAGCAGAGTACGTGGTTCACCTGTATATGTATATGCGGCTAATTGGATATCCAGCTTCAAAAATATCATTGCTGACAACTTATAATGGCCAGAAAGAGTTACTACGTGATGTAGTTGAACAAAGGTGTGCTCGAAATCCGCTATTTGGACGCCCTCATAAGATTAGCACTGTTGATAAATACCAGGGGCAACAAAATGACTACATCCTACTATCACTTGTTAGGACACGTGCTGTAGGTCACCTTAGGGATGTGAGGCGACTCGTTGTAGCAATGTCACGTGCCAGACTTGGCCTTTATATATTTGCACGTGTTTCTCTCTTCAAGAACTGTTATGAACTTCAGCCAGCATTTTCATTGCTTACGAAGAGACCACTTAATCTTCATTTAGCTCCCTGGGAATATGTACCTACTGAGCGACTATACACTCATCTCCCACCTGAAAAGCCTGTGGTGGTAAAAGATGTTACTCATATGAGCAGTTTGGTACATCAGTTGTATTCCGATCTTTGCTCAACCATTCAAGCAATTGCTGGGCTTGGTGAAGCACCTGGTATGATGGCAACTCATGAACTGCCTCCAGATACAGGTGCACGTTATGACTCGGATGAAGAGACAACAGCAGAAAATGAAGAGGCAGAAAGTTCAATGCTCATTGTTAATGAAGTTGATGGCAAATAATTTGAATATGTATATGAATCATGCACACAAACAATCATTGCCATTGTAACCTGTTTACTTTCTCATAAGGCAGGAATAAATCTATACATCAAGATTTGAAAAATAGAGAAAATGAAATGACCTCCATTCCTTCATTCCTGTACTGTTTCTACATATATTAGTATTACAGGAAAATAGTACTAGTTTCATGCTGCCTGAGGGTGTTAAATATAATTTATAAATTTTTTGTGTAAATATTTATGATTTTAAAATTTGTATTGTAAATAGAATTGTAATTTTTCTTTTACATTTTTCAGCATAACTTGAGAATCAAAGATACCTAAACAAAATAAGCAGATTCTTTAATGATGTCTTGCTCTCTCTGCACTTTAAAACATGGTGATCTTGACTGAATGTCTGTACTTTGACAAAGCTCCAGAACATCTTTAACCCCTAAACTGTCCAAATGTAGATCTACGTTCACTTGCGTAGCTCTCCGAATGTGGATCTACATTTCTTTTACATATAGCATGTAAAATCAAACGTAGATCTATATTCAGAGCACTACGTGAGTGAACGTAGATTTACATTTGGACAGTTTATGGGTTAAATAAAAGACTTACTGCACTTTGTCTTTGTCTTTGATTCAATATGCTCATTTATTAATGATTAACATTTGTTATTTGTACACCTACCATCCGACTTATGACCGAGTTCGGTTCCGAGAAACCGGTCGTAAGTCGAAATGGTCGTAAGTCGAACTTTACTACTGAATATCAACAAAACATTTTTGTAATGACTTTATTTTATTGTTTTATTTTGGTATTTCATGTTTTACTTTACTTTTTATGTTGTTAGTACTGTATTTTATACTGTAAGGTTTAGGATAAACACTGTGTACAACACAAATAGTTGTTCATTTCCCAGGAATTTGGCATAAAAAACACGGTCGTAAGTCGAGTGGTCGTAAGTCGAGCAGGTCGTAAGTCAGATGGTAGGTGTAATCATTCTGAAATAATTTTTTTTACAGTGATCTGTATTGAAAACTTATGAATTTTTATATTATAGGATAACTAAAATTTGTAATAATTTTGTTAAATAAAATTGTCAGACAAGCAATTTTAATCATTCTGATTCTGTATCCTTTAGTCATACTACTATAAAATGCACATGCAGTACAATATACTTTTTAGGAATAGACATACAGAAAGTATTTCGTTTATACTGTATATAACTTGTGCACAAGTAACAACCAAAGAAAAGCAAACATGCATCTTTTTACATCACCACCTGTATATGCCACACGTCAATCTTGTATACAGTGCTTTTATTATTATTATTATCACACTGGCCGATTCCCACCAAGGCAGGGTGGCCCGAAAAAGAAAAACTTTCACCATCATTCACTCCATCACTGTCTTGCCAGAAGGGTGCTTTACACTACAGTTTTTAAACTGCAACATTAACACCCCTCCTTCAGAGTGCAGGCACTGTACTTCCCATCTCCAGGACTCAAGTCCGGCCTGCCGGTTTCCCTGAATCCCTTCATAAATGTTACTTTGCTCACACTCCAACAGCACGTCAAGTATTAAAAACCATTTGTCTCCATTCACTCCTATCAAACACGCTCACGCATGCCTGCTGGAAGTCCAAGCCCCTCGCACACAAAACCTCCTTTACCCCCTCCCTCCAACCCTTCCTAGGCTGACCCCTACCCCGCCTTCCTTCCACTACAGACTGATACACTCTTGAAGTTATTCTGTTTCGCTCCATTCTCTCTACATGTCCGAACCACCTCAACAACCCTTCCTCAGCCCTCTGGACAACAGTTTTGGTAATCCCGCACCTCCTCCTAACTTCCAAACTACGAATTCTCTGCATTATATTCACACCACACATTGCCCTCAGACATGACATCTCCACTGCCTCCAGCCTTCTCCTCGCTGCAACATTCATCACCCATGCTTCACACCCATATAAGAGCGTTGGTAAAACTATACTCTCATACATTCCCCTCTTTGCCTCCAAGGACAAAGTTCTCTGTCTCCACAGACTCCTAAGTGCACCACTCACTCTTTTTCCCTCATCAATTCTATGATTCACCTCATCTTTCATAGACCCATCCGCTGACACGTCCACTCCCAAATATCTGAATACGTTCACCTCCTCCATACTCTCTCCCTCCAATCTGATATTCAATCTTTCATCACCTAATCTTTTTGTTATCCTCATAACCTTACTCTTTCCTGTATTCACCTTTAATTTTCTTCTTTTGCACACCCTACCAAATTCATCCACCAATCTCTGCAGCTTCTCTTCAGAATCTCCCAAGAGCACAGTGTCATCAGCAAAGAGCAGCTGTGACAACTCCCACCCTGTGTGTGATTCTTTATCTTTTAACTCCACGCCTCTTGCCAAGACCCTCGCATTTACTTCTCTTACAACCCCATCTATAAATATATTAAACAACCACGGTGACATCACACATCCTTGTCTAAGGCCTACTTTTACTGGGAAAAAATTTCCCTCTTTTCTACATACTCTAACTTGAGCCTCACTATCCTCGTAAAAACTCTTCACTGCTTTCAGTAACCTACCTCCTACACCATACACTTGCAACATCTGCCACATTGCCCCCCTATCCACCCTGTCATACGCCTTTTCCAAATCCATAAATGCCACAAAGACCTCTTTAGCCTTATCTAAATACTGTTCACTTATATGTTTCACTGTAAACACCTGGTCCACACACCCCCTACCTTTCCTAAAGCCTCCTTGTTCATCTGCTATCCTATTCTCCGTCTTACTCTTAATTCTTTCAATTATAACTCTACCATACACTTTACCAGGTACACTCAACAGACTTATCCCCCTATAATTTTTGCACTCTCTTTTATCCCCTTTGCCTTTATACAAAGGAACTATGCATGCTCTCTGCCAATCCCTAGGTACCTTACCCTCTTCCATACATTTATTAAATAATTGCACCAACCACTCCAAAACTATATCCCCACCTGCTTTTAACATTTCTATCTTTATCCCATCAATCCCGGCTGCCTTACCCCCTTTCATTCTACCTACTGCCTCACGAACTTCCCCCACACTCACAACTGGCTCTTCCTCACTCCTACAAGATGTTATTCCTCCTTGCCCTATACACGAAATCACAGCTTCCCTATCTTCATCAACATTTAACAATTCCTCAAAATATTCCCTCCATCTTCCCAATACCTCTAACTCTCCATTTAATAACTCTCCTCTCCTATTTTTAACTGACAAATCCATTTGTTCTCTAGGCTTCCTTAACTTGTTAATCTCACTCCAAAACTTTTTCTTATTTTCAACAAAATTTGTTGATAACAGCTCACCCACTCTCTCATTTGCTCTCTTTTTACATTGCTTCACCACTCTCTTAACCTCTCTCTTTTTCTCCATATACTCTTCCCTCCTTGCATCACTTCTACTTTGTAAAAACTTCTCATATGCTAACTTTTTTCTCCCTTACTACTCTCTTTACATCATCATTCACCAATCGCTCCTCTTCCCTCCTGCACCCACTTTCCTGTAACCACAAACTTCTGCTGAACACTCTAACACTACATTTTTAAACCTACCCCATACCTCTTCGACCCCATTGCCTATGCTCTCATTAGCCCATCTATCCTCCAATAGCTGTTTATATCTTACCCTAACTGCCTCCTCTTTTAGTTTATAAACCTTCACCTCTCTCTTCCCTGATGCTTCTATTCTCCTTGTATCCCATCTACCTTTTACTCTCAGTGTAGCTACAACTAGAAAGTGATCTGATAAAATCTGTGGCCCCTCGATAAACATGTACATCCTGAAGTCTACTCAACAGTCTTTTATCTACTAATACATAATCCAACAAACTACTGTCATTTCGCCCTACATCATATCGTGTATACTTATTTATCCTCTTTTTCTTAAAATATGTATTACCTATAACTAAACCCCTTTCTATACAAAGTTCAATCAAAGGGCTCCCATTATCATTTACACCTGGCACCCCAAACTTACCTACCACACCCTCTCTAAAAGTTTCTCCTACTTTAGCATTCAGGTCCCCTACCACAATTACTCTCTCACTTGGTTCAAAGTGCTTTTATTATCTAAACATATTGTTGAATAACCCACATGGGTTTAGCCTACACATATACTTTTTTTTGTGCTGCTCTTCTCTCTGACAGTCCCAATTTTGCTGTTGATTCACTCTGTGCATTCTAAACAGACTGATTTTCTACATCTGTGACCCTCGTCCTTTCAGCTGATAACTTTCCTTGAACACTTTTTGTTGTACAGCACTGTATCATCCTCACAGGTTGAGCACCTTTCATTTTTTTTTAACACTGTCCATCTCCCACCAAGGCAGGGTGACCCAAAAAAGAAGAAACATAAAGTTTTTCTTCTTTTTCATAGAGTAATTTATACAGAAGGGGATACTAACACCTTGCTCCTGACATTTTAGTCGTCTCTGATGCCATGCATGGCTTTCGGAGGATAAATAATATTTTAGCATCTCATGGTTATCTGTACCCTTCAAGGAAGGGCCATAATGCTGACAAGGAGCTTGTGATTTAAACAATTGGACTTATCCTGCCTTAACTTCAATTGAATATAACTGCTGCCCAATTCCCCAGGTGTTGTACGATCTTTATGTGCTTAGTGCTCCCCAACAATGTGATAATAATAACCGACTCATATCTAACCTCAAGGGCATTCATTATAGTTTCTCTGAGGATCCATGTCCCTCTTCCTTGAACAAAACCTGAAAACTCTCTCATGGCACCCCTCAAGGAAGGGTCCTTGATACTGGTGAGGGGCTCTTGATCTAGGGAATTGGATCTGTGCTCCAGTTCCCTGAATTAAACCTGAATATCTTCCACATCCCCCCATAAGGCACTGTATAATCCTATGGGTTTAGTGCTTCCCCCTTGATTATAATAATACAATGGAACCCTGGTCTTCGTCTTTAATCCGTTCCAGAAGGTCGGCCGAAAACCGATTTGTACGAAAACTGAAGTAATATTTCTCATAAGAAATAATGTAAATCCAATTAATTGGTTCCACACTCCCAAAAATATTAACAAAAAATACATTTTATAAAGAATAACTATAGTTTTTACATACAGGAAACAATGAGAAATAAATATAAAGCACTAATGAAATGGGTAAATGAACATTTAAATCACTTTACCTTTACTGAAGGCTCTTGTTGGCATATGGAGGACAGCGAGGAGGGGAAAGGGAGGAGAGGTTATCTCTACCACCATCACAACCAGTACCACCCTCTACCACCATCACTACCACTCTCTGCTACCATCACTACCACCATTACTACCACCATTGCTACCACCCTCTACCACCATCACTACCACCATCACAACCACCATCGCAACCACTACCACCCTCTACCACCACAACCACTACTACCCTCTACCACCATCACAACCACTACCACCCTCTACAAGCAACAAAAGCAACCTGAGTCACGAAAGTTTGAGCAGCCGTGTCCTGCGGGCAGGTGGACGCATCTGATATGGACGATTTCCAAGCGGATGTACGAAAATGGGGAAAATTTCTCCGAAAAAAGTGGTTGAAAACTGAACTGTAAGATAACTGGACTGGACGAAAACTGGGGTTCCACTGTAATAATCTTTCATGGCAGGATAAAAGAAGTGCCTTTTTTGTGGGGAGATTGAGTTTCACTACTTTTGCTTCTATTTCTGTTATTTGTTCCCATAAGGAAGGTTTCTTGGTGCTGGTGAGAGGCTCTTGATCCAAGCCCCTCAAGGGAGGTTCCTTGATGCTGGCAAGGGGCTCTTGATCTAGGGAATTGGATCTGTGTTCCAGTTCCCTGAATTGAGCCTGAATACCTTCCATCCCCCCCCCCTACATGTGCTGTATAATCCTACGGGTTTAGCGCTCCCCCATGATTATAATAATAATCTTGATCCAAGAAATTGGATTTGCCTTCCCTCTGGATGAAACTTGATTGTCTCCCATTTCCCAGGTGTTGTATGACCCCCTACATTTTTTAGTACTTCCCCTTAAATGCAATAATATTAATTCTGTTATTTGTCTTTCCTGTGATATATACACTCAAC